CAGAATTGTTCCTGCCTTAGCTAGAAAGAAGCACCTGGAATCTTTCTCATGGGGATTTCTGTCCCTGAAATAATTTAAAGCATAGTCTTCTAATTAAGAGCTGCCAAGGCAAATTGCTCACCAGACACAGCAGTCATAACAGTTTTCTTCTTCAACATGTCAAGGAACAAAGATGTTGATATAATAAATGATAAAACTCATTCACCATCATGCCTCAGTTCCTTCTGCAGCATGACAGACCTCAAACCTTTTTTTTCTGGCAGCACAGAGAAATTCTAACCACCCCATTATAGGTTATTCTAAAAAACCCAAAACATTCTTTATGCAGTATGTTAAAATATGTAGAAATTGTTTAATATAGTGCCATACTTATGTGTTCAGGCAAATGAAAGACTGACATATTTTTCCCTTTATGTGTATAAAAATTAGAAACAATCTTTTTAACTGTGTACCCTACCTAGACCTTTTTTTTTCCTGCATGACCAAGCTTGAGAACCCCCCTCCATCTGGCTTGCTCAAGGTCCCAGTTCTGTTTTCCAACATGACAGAGCTGCAATAGAAGGAATTTGGATGGAGCTCTCTCACCAACCCACCCTAAAACAGACTGCTGATTAAGAGCTTTGGCCTGGCCCCCATTCATGCTGAGAAATGAGGTTTGTCCAGGTTTCCTCTACCTTTGGCACATGTTTCAGGAACTGAGCTCTTGTGCACAAAGGCCAAGTCCCTTCCTCCTCCCACTGGCTGCCTTCTTAAAGAAGACTTACGTGTATGACTTCTCTTTGTTCTGTAGTTCAGTTGCAGTAATTTTTCATGCCCAATGTTCTAAACTTTGAGCTTGAAATTATGAAAATTGCAAAAAACTTTGAATTTTCTGTGGTCTGTTCGCTATCCTATGGGGTTCCCTTCAAAACTAGGTGAAATGATTAATTCAGCACTGGCAGAATTGAAAAAGTGGCATAACTTATAAAACAAAATCACTTTTTTTCCCTTGTCAGAAATTCAGCCCAAGGAAACAAGAAATATTAATGAAGTTCAGTAACTTGTTATTTGAGCAACTCATTTCTGCAGCTCCACCTTATGCCAATTTGCTTTGCTTCCTTTCCAGTCACTAGGGGTATATTTAATAAGCTCAAACATAAATCATTCACCACATGCAAGGTAATTATTTATGAAAAATCTACATCTTTTCTTTTCTCTGGATTTAGGTGAATTGGAAAAAGGTTTCTTATCAATTGCCACTGAATTAATCTAGAATTATTATTAAAAAATAGTTGGGTGTTTGAGTCTGTTCAATTTCCCCAGGCAAAAATTCTGATTTAAATTGATCTTGGCAGAATCAGGCCCCTTAATCTTCCACTTGCAGCAAATGATAAGCTGCAAATAAGGGGGGAAAAGAGCCTCTATTTGTGACATGCTGAGATTTTAATTGATCCCCTCAATAAATGCTATTAATGAATGAGTATTGAAAGGGGTGTGAGACTGATGGATACTGATGTGAATGTCTGTATAATATCAGCTGTCATTTACATGCCTAAGGACAACTTCTAGAATTGCATATGAAAAAGGGAAGATGGATAGAATAAATTAAAGAGGAGATTATAATAGCCTCAGAATGGTGTAAGAATTTAACACTGTTGTGAAAAATATTTCCTGTACCAAAGTTCCTGTATGACAATTTTCTCTTATTTAAATAATTTACTCATTTTACAGTTTCTTCATACATATTTAGACTTTTCATTCATTAAATATCAACTTGCCACTCTTAGATACCATTGCAGTGAAATGATTTTAGGAAGTGGGCTTGAGCTCTACAGCGTGAGAAAAATCCCGATTGATACTAATATCATTTTATACCACTGAAAAGTCGGCAGGCCCTGACAAAACTCAGTCTCTGATATAAAACTGGAGCATGGCTGCCTGCATTATCCATGAGTCTAACCTTAATGCTCTTGTACAACCATTCTGACAAAGCTCTGAGTCCAAACTGTAGATGTGATTAAGTTACCGAGTCATTTGAGGGAATCTCAGGAGAGCAGGCAGTTTGCCTCTGCCAAAGGCAGATACCATCAGCCTCCTGTCCTTCTTGAGAGTCACTGAATTATCTTCCTCTAGATGAAATATTTTCAGTGATAAAAAGCCTATAGTTTGCTTTTGAAATGAGTATGATGGGAATAATTGGGGAAGAATAAAAAATGAAAAAGCAATGTAGTCATGCTGTAACACAGATCACATTTAGCAGTCACAATTACATGATTAACAGGAAAAAAAAAACAAAAGTAGGAAGACAAGGAGTCATTTAAAAGCTCCCTGTGGTTTTTTGTGCCAGTAGAGACACCTTGCCTGACCCTGCAATGTTCCACAGGACATAAATCTTATGTCATATTTGTTAGTCCCGTGTGGGTGTTTCACATACCCAGGGTTTTACAGACACATGCTGAGGTCAGGTACAGACAGCTGAATGGAGCCCAGCCAGCAGCTTTAGCTGTGAGCTGAATTTGTCCCCAGGCTTCGCTGCCTGGCTCTCCTTGGGCTCCAGGGCTCCCTGGCATGGGGACACCTGACACAGTCATCTCCGCTTGGACATTGCACTCCATGGATCACTTCCTGAGCTTTGGCAAATCACACAGGTGACATCACATGATGAAGGAGAGAAAACATTCATGAGGAGTTGAATGGATTTCCTGTGTCACACCTGTGCACTCACATTTGCATATATCAGACCCTCGTTAGCAGATCTTGACATGCATGAAGATTCTTATTTTTGCAAAAAGCACATTCCTCTGAAGTTGTCTGCTTTATTCTGAATTTCAGACATGCAGGAAGGTGATATAAGTCTCATCTGAATTTACTGGAATCAACACTCTAGCCAGTTTAAGTGAGGTTTTAAGAATCAAACAACAGTCTTATCCTTTTGAAGACTGAAGTCTTTACCAGTGCTGAAATAAATTCTCATTTTAAAAGGGGTTATGCATGTCATCTTATAGGTATAATAAATGTTGAAATTAAAAATGTAATTAAAAATTAAAATATAATAATACTTGAGATATATCTTCTTTCTTTTATTCCAGTCTGTCTTTCCTAAACATTGACTGTTTTTCCCTTTTCCTCCCTCTATTCTACTATAATGTTATTATTTGTAAAGTATTTGTAGTGGCCCTGAATAAAGTGCTGCTTTTTGATTTATTCCACCTCGGTCAAACCAATATGACATTATACACAATCCTTTTACTTTCTAGATGTGAAAGCAAACATCACTTATAGTGAGCATCAATTGAATGAGACCTTTAGAAAAGCCCAAGAACTCTAGAATCTGTGGTTTATATCTTCATCTCTTTCCATTTTGTCTAAACGAGGAACACAGGGACAATTTTAAGGAAATCCACTTAATGCTTGACATTCATTTATGCCATTGAGTCCTACCTACTTGTCATTAACTTTTATGTTTCATAGTTTCACTCTATAGTTAAAAAAATAGGTGGAAAATATGGTAACATCAGACCTCTAATTCTCTCCATGGAGGAGGAAAGTTTTTGGAGGCTTTTAGGATGTACAATTTCATTTAAAGCAATATGAAAAATTCTTAGTGTTCTTCTGTGGGTCTGCAGAGGGGCTGAAAAGAAGGGGTTGAGGCAAGAGGAGAGTTACATATGAATTTTGCCTTTTTAGAAGTCTGAGTTCAGTCTGGAATTTTGTGTGAAACTTGGGTACCAAAGCATTGCACTTGAAAGGCAAGCACTGGTTTTAGCTGGAGACTTAACCAAAGCTTCAAACACAGTCAGTTCCTACTGATGGTTTGGGGAGATTTTAGGGTGAATCAGCTTACTTTGGCCACGTGCCCAGAGCAGATTTTACCCTTGCTGGCATCCTTAAGGCTTCAGCTGGCTTCTCAAAAAGCTTTGGGTAAAAGTGTGTGAATTCTGTGTGTCACTCCAGGATTGTTCAAGGCTTGTCTGAGGTTGACTACAAACCTTCATTCTTCCTAAGCAAAATTTTGAAGGGAATCCATACTTGATTCCTGGGAGAACCAGCATTCACATTTGCTCTTATATCTTACTTAAATTTTTCTTTTTAAGGTCTGTTACTGAAGCCTTTACTGATTGATTATTAATACTACACTCAATATTTCAATGATTCTCCATCATAAAAACGCTTCCTTGACACAACTTGTAATGTTCTCTGTTCCTGTGCATTGATTGCCTCCTGTGAGGGCCCAATCAGCAGAATACATTGGGCAAATTTACAGTAATCTTGGTCTCATATGCTGGTCTGGGAACTGCAAAATTGCAGCAACTCAGATATTTCTGCTCACTAGAAAAGGATCTTCTAAAATAATGAGCAAGTTATGCAATAATATTCTGCTTCAGTTTCTAATGACACTGTTAATGTGTATTTTAGAAATTAAATTCACTATTTGCTCTTAGGGTAAAGGGTGTCTCTAGCTGGATGCCAAACATCATTTCTCCACAGCATGAGTTTGATGCAGGACAGCTTCTTTGAGATCCTTGCCATGCAGATACTTGATCAGCTCCTGTAGCTGTTGGGAATACTTGAGTGTCACTGCAGAAACTTTAGGTGGGAAGGGATTTCAGTGGGAAGAAAGAGGTTTTTCATTTATTTCCAGTGTAAAAAGCAGGCAGGAAAACATGCCCTGGAGGTACATAGCCTAAATTGGGTTATTCATTATCTCAGATGGCATTTCTGAATCCTTGGCCTATGTTCCACCTAGCTCTGATAAAACCTTTCTCCCCATCAGCAAGAACATCTCTGGTTAGAATAAAATAAAAATCACAATAGCCTTTTTTTTCTGCAAATGTAAAGGTACTTTATTTCAAAAGTGATATAAATCACAATTATACTAATGACAAGCAGAAAACATCCAGAAAAAAGGTGGGGTGTTGATTGGTTTTTTAACAGTATTTTTTCAACCACTTTTACTTTCACCTTAACATGCTGAAAAAATCTGCAAATATTTTCTTTCTCTTTGCTATATTTGTGTGTAGGAGCACCATTGTCTAAGAATAAAGATCCTGGGGGATTGTTACTACTGCGTCTCGGGGCTCCCAGAACCTCGCCAGGACCATGCACATTGCTGTGTTGAAATGGGGCTCAGCATGATCAAAACTATCAGGTAATGCCTTTTCCTCCCCCTGATTCATTGTTTCTGGCAGTGTTCTCAGCTTCCTACCTGAGAATGTTATCACTAGACAAGTAATTATTCTGTTGGTTCAAAAATCTCAGCTTTATCACTGTGAAAAGGACAGGACTTTTCTGATCCATGTAATGCGTGGGAAAAGCTGCTAAAATGATTTTGTTAACCTGTGCTACTTCAGAGATGTAACACAATAGCTGTGTGTGCAACTGAGAGGCTTCACAGTTCTTGGCAGTTCTCACTTTGTACTGTTGTCAATTTCAAGAGGAGACTGAAGAGGAGGAGTCTGAATTGCTTCCTATAATCCCTTTAATAAAATTAAACCACAATAAAACCACAAAATAGACAGCTTTGGCTATCCTTTAACTTGGAAACTAGCTCATAGACAAACTCATAAGTACTGAGATTTTCCAGATGAACAAATTTTACTTGCTAAATTAGGTTCTTGCTTAAATTCACCAGCACTGGAACTATTTTAATGGAGGAATGTGTTCCCATCATGTAAATATAATTATGTTGCTGTTAGATTATTGTATTTTGATGCAATTACAATTAATAATAATCATATTTCAGCAGCCTGTGGGTAGAGCTGGCCCAATGAGTTACCATGACATTGGTTGACATCTAGTACTCCAAGAGGTTTTGTCCATCTTTTAGAAATTTATGGGTTTTTACTGATACAACATATCAAAAACAATTTACTGAGCTTATCATATTCAAATACTTTTTCTGTTGTTGCCTTCCTTAAAATAGTTCTGCCTAACATGAGCATTTTCCCCTTTCCCTGGATGTTTTGCTGTCCAATCTCTTTTTCTGCTTCTTGTCCAGACCTCTTTGCCCCTTTTATCTGGGTCTGTCTCATGGCATACATCAGACACTTAATGCACACTGCAGCTACATTACTGAGCTCTTAATAGAGACAGAATTTGACTAAAATTAATTAATGGAAAATGTAACTGAATAATGATTATGCAACAGTGATATCTAAGAAGGCTGGATTCAATTATCACAGGCTAAATGTTGAATAAAGTAATCAATACTTTGCTTCTGGAATCCCCACAGTGAAAGTGAAACATGAATTAGAAAACACAGAGATGAAAAAATCTACTGGCACTGTTAAAATTTTTCGGATACACACATCAAATCTTGGCATTTGCTTGGTAACACCACCTGCAGACAACCCATTGTAAGCTCTTTTTCTTCAGACAGTAAATCTCTCTCCATCTCCTTACACATGTGGAAGTCTGTAGCATCCTGTGCCCTTCAATGAACAGGGTCTTGAAGGCAGCAATCCAATATTGAAATATTGGAAATATTGGTCTATTTTTAGTATCTTAAATGACAGCTACAGTCAGTCAGAGCCATGACATAAAGTCCATCAGGACTTGGGTCATCCATCACAGACTACTTCAGTTCCGATTACCCCCCATTTATTTGATAATCCCAGTATCTGATTTTCTCTCTATGCAATGAGGATGGTTCTTCCCCCAGGCTTTTCTGTTCAGAGTCTTATGTTGCTTATCTTAATGTGTGTTCACACAGTTCACAGGGAGGACCAATCCTGACATGGAATATTAGAAATACTTCCGCCCACATTTCTGAGAAAATTTGGAGTTATCTACATTCTATTAATTAAAATTAAAGAAGTAGATATATGTCTCACAGTTAAGAATTAAAAAATACCCTCTTTATAAAAGTTAGTTTTTTGTCATATTGGTCCCCACAGAATTTTACCATATTTAAAACGTGACAGAAATGACATTTGGATGATTAGAAAATTTTTTATCTTTATAAAAGATTAGAAAATCTTTTATCTTTATTATATAAAATAAATATTTTTTTAGTCTAAAATAATAGGGAGGTGACCCAAGATATGCAAAACCATCATTCAGATTGGAGAGCTGCATTGAAGTTATACAGACAAACATTTCTCTCCATTGATATGGGCAATGTTGTACTGACCAGTACAACCCTTCTGGTGAGGCAGCACCCAAAAAACCCCTGGATCTCAGGATACCATGGCTGAATACTCCTTCTATTGTCCTTGATGCATCCATGGTCAAAGGGAACAGCACGAGAGTGTCGGGTCCATTCATTACACAACATGTGAAATAAATCTGCACGGACAGACTGTCTCACTAGGGACTTTTGAGTGTTTTCATGCAGCTTGTATCCATACAGCTAAATTGTTAATATATTGTTAATTGAGAGTCCACAATTTGATTTTAAGCTTGAGTCTTGCAGGTCCACTACTCTTTTTGCAGATGAAAGGAACTGGTTAGAACTCAACAAAATAATTCAAGATCCTTATTTTCCCTGTAATGTTTTTTCTTGCATCATCATGCTTTGTTAAAAATTCCATAAAAGAAGCATTATTATTGTTATTCCAATCTGTCTTCTTGTTTTTTGCTCCCTTAACTGTTGAGAACTATTGATGGGTGACTTCTAATTACAGGAAGATGGCATGGAATCTGATATTTACTCCAAAGTAAGGTGGTTTTGCTCCACCACATTTAGGCATGAGAAAAAAATCCATACTCTCTCTCTACTGCAAAACCCAAAGACCTGTAAATTCTGTTTCCTAAAATCTCCATGACTAGGAGTAGAATGGAAGGGAGATTGTGTGAGACTCTGCTCCTCAAAGACTCATTTTCATACTGAACGATGGAAATGGGACAATATATATAACAGTGGAAATTCAAACAAACCCTTGTGCTGGTATATTTGTTTGGTGAATCAAGGAGCCCTGAGTCGTTTCATTTGCTGGATCATTTCCCACTAAAAACCATCTGAAAGAGTAACTATTATGACAGAATAAATGGTCCCAGCATGCAATATAGGCTAAACTCCAGAAATTAGATAACAGCTTGTCTTCATTAAAAGTCTGTAATTAAGTACTAATATTAAGGCAAATTCATGAGAGAAGGAAAAAAAACGGAAAATTTAAAAACCCAAACAAATACACAACCAAAAATACTTCAGCTGTTTCAGATAACTGACTGCCCTGGCAGGATTCCTGCTTTTAGCATGAAAAAAACTGCAGTTATAATAATCTGTTGAGTATTAATGAAAATCATGAAGTGATCAATTCCTGTTAAAGAAGTAACTCAGGCAGTAAAAGAGACAGGAATTGTTTTCATATTCCATTATTTATAATTGTTTAATTAAGTAATTATATAATAATATCATTCATCAAGTTCTGGATTCCTTCCATAGATTATTTCTCCTATGATCTGCAAGGCTCTTCCTATGATTCACAGAAAAGAGGATGTATTCACAAACCCAAATCTAAGGCTTAACTTCATTTCTGTGTGGTGGTGGAAAGAGGTATTGTGACATATTCACAAGTTCAACCAGCACTTTTTAGACAGTTCTAAGATTGAATATAGGTTTCTCACTGAGACTTGATCATATTGTCACCTCCACATGTCCATTTCAGCCACTGACTGAATGGAGAGAATGTCAAAATAGATTTTCTTTCCCTGTTTTTGCTGTTGGATGATGATATGAACTAAATCAGGTAGAGAGGAATGAGTTCATACACTTCTGTGACCTCTTTCCTTGAATGCACCATGAAACACAGTAAAGGACACATTGGAAAAATGGCATAGGACTATGTGTATATATAAGAAAGAGGAATGCAGCAGTATTAACTCTGCCCATGTAGTTACAGTTTCTGTCTGAACTCAGAGCAAGTCAGTTATATTAGTGACAATATGAAGCTTCTCCAGGTAATAGTTCTGCCTACATTAGATTACAGCTCTAAATCCAAGGTAAACTCATCCTGGTGCTATTTTAAATTGGCTCCTTGGGAAAATATCTACATTAAATTGTAAATTCAACTTGTGTAAAGTTCACCTATGAAATGCTACATCCCACAGGTCATATTGCCTGCACTGTACCATTCAAAGTGTTCAGTAGTTTAGTGCATCCTCTTACCAAGCTTTTCTAAAATCATGGATATCTCCTTCATGGGCATGACACAGTTCCCAGAGTCACACTGAAAAGATCAATTACCTCACTTCATCTACTATCCTGTCATGTCAGCATCAAAAAGCTGACATTAATTTCTTCAGGAAAATTCTATAATTCTGTTAAGTCCAACCAAAATGTTCCCTATGTAACTTTACCTTATGATCGAAGGACATTTCAGTTAGCAGGAGACACAGGAGATCACCTATCCATCCTCCTGATCTCAGCAGAGTCAGCTAAAACTCTTATTTACTTCAACCAGAATACATGGACTTTCATATTTCACCTGCATGAGGATGATAATGACCATGTCTTGATGGGTAAATTGAACAAACTCAGAGAATTTTAGCCATCACTGAGAAAAAGTGGAGCAGACTGGCAAACTCCACTCCTATGAAGTCATTTTGCTTCCAGAACCAGGCAGTTGAATTCAAATTACCTACTAGAAATGATCTGGAACAGGATGTGAAAGGGCTTGTTGAGAATGAAAAAGCATTCTGGATTGTTTTAAGTATCTCAAAGCATAGTCAAAACCTTGCACAATTGAACTGGCCAGCACAGAAGCAGCCTGTGTGTCACTCTCAATCTCCAGGACTGGAATTCCAGGGCACTCAGTTTTTTGACAGCTATAGAAAATGCTGAAAAGGAAATTTCTAACTTTTGGCTCACCTTCTTCATGCAAATAAGAAAGGTTTAATTAACACTATAAAAATTAAATACCCATCAAAGAATGCTGACCAGGAGGAAATGCCAAGATCCAATTAAAATCATTGCAATTTTTTATCTGTGGCTAGACTGAAATGAGATGAATGGCTAAAATAACACCAGTCACAGTTACCTCATCCTGGATAAGATATCAAAGCACTTGTGAGGCAAAGAGGGCTGCTTTAGAGATCATCAATAATGCATTTTGTGCGTGCACTTTGTCAATGTCTCCGCAAAAAGCCTGTAAAGTAGTTGAAGAAAATACATTTTTTTAATTAGAAGTTTCATTCACAGTTGAATAAATTTAAGAGAGAGAAGAAATAGATGTGGAATACCAGAGATTTTGCAAAATGGACTCTCTTAATTTTTTTCTCTACAATTTTTTATCTAGTACATGCTATTATTTCTGACTTTTTTTTTCTCAATAAATTAGTTTCCACTATTGATGAAGGTGATTCAGGCTTTGCTATTTCAGGCTTTTTTTTTTCTTATACCTGTATGTAAACAAGACCTCCTAAAATATGTGCTAGTCTGGCTGCTAGAGGGTTAGATTTGACCATGATTAAATCCCCTTCTTTACATAATTCAGAAATATTTTTCAGCCCACATCACTCCCAATATTAAATAAAAAGAATAACTCCATGACTTCTTACATATTAACAAATCACCTCACTTTTAAACTTTTTTAATCTTTGCAGAGAAATTTTGAAATAAAGCAGCCCATTTATTCTTTGTTCAATTTAAAAATCTTACAACAAAAATTTTTATGAAGACGTTTTCATGACAGGGTATCAGCAGTTCTCCTTTCAGTCTTGTGTTGCAAATAATAATTTGAATGAGAGTAGATCACTCTTGGGCTTTGATTCATGTCCTGGACAGGGCTGTTTAAATATATTTCAGACTATGCCTGTTACTTCATGCAATCAGGTCCCCTCCTGCAATTATTTTCCCACCTATGCACACAGGAGCTGTGCATGCCAAGAGGATGCAAAGGCAGAGAGAGCCCTGCATGTGCCCCAGCACTGCAGCAGGCAGAGAAACAGAATGTCCTCAGCCAGAGGGTGCAGGCAGGAGGCCAAATCCCCTCTGACTGCTGGGGAAGAGCTGAGATCAAATATCACCTGGGCAGCACATAGAGTTGCTGGGAGACTGTGGGAGACAGATAAGGCAAGGGGGAGAGGACCTTGGTTAGTGTCTGCAGTGCACTGCAGGAGGTGGTGTGGACAGCACAGCTCTGTGAGGTTTAGGACAAATGCAGAAGTCCCATGTGGATGATGGAGGATGCCAAAGCCTTCTCAGGCCATCCCCACATTTTTATGACAAAGGAAAAGTTAAATCCAGAAATACTTAGTGGCCACTCTGGAAATAGAGGGGCACATTGCTCAGTTGCACCATGGTTTGTACCTGGTCTCTCCAGGGATACCTGTGTGTCTTAGTTCTCATGTAAGATACAAATACCAGACCCCAATTTACAGTATTTAAAAAAGACTAGAATAGAATAGAATAGAATAGAATAGAATAGAATAGAATAGAATAGAATAATCAGCTATTTTAGTTGGAAGGGGCCTGCGGTGACCATCTAGTCCGGCTGCCTGCCAATTCAAAGGTCACCAAAGCTAAAATATGTTAAGCCCATTGTCCAAATGCATCTTGATCATGGGCTTGGGGCATCAATCACCTCAGCAGAGAGCCTGTTACACTGTTTGGCCACAGTCATGGAGAAGAAATGTTCCCTAATGTCCAAGCTGAACATTCACTGGTGGAGCTTTGAGTTATTCCCATACTTTCAGTCACTGGATCCCAGGGAGAAGAGCTCAGCACCTCCATCTCCTCATCCCCTCCTCAGGAAGCTGTTAGAGAGCAATGAGGTCACACCTCAGCCTCTTCCTTTCTAAACCAGACAAACCTAGAGCCTTCAGCTGCTCATCACAGAACATGACAGCTGGTAAAATAGAAATTAAATTGGTAAAATAGCATGTGTGTCTATATATGTAAAGAGAAGGGTTACATAAATAGAGGCTATTAAAACATTTTATTAAACTTAAGCCCTACTTATTGGTAGCATTTTTCAATCAAAAGCTTTTTGTTCAATTATTCCTCTAAATACAAATATCTTTTATTTCAAAATAAGGAAATCAAATGTAAAATGAAAAAATAATTAACTTAGTCTGAACAAAAGGCAGACTGGGGAAAAAAAACATGTGAGGAGGTGTGTGACAATTCCTCTAAAAGTTATGAGTGTCAGTTTAGATATTTTTATAGCATATAAAAATTATTCAAAATAGATTAAGATCTCAGTGGTCTCACTTCTATTAGCTGCTCTCACAACACTTAAAGTGCTTCAGTGTGGAGGAGTTGCTGCATATCCCATCTTCCAGGGACAGGTAATTGTTTGTATAATTATGATATTTCAAGCCCTCTTGCTTGCATGCAATGAAGAAAGTTGTAAATGAAAGCTATAAGCTTTAAGTATAAGAACACAGATAAATCCCTTTGCAAAGTTTCTTTGTTTATTATTTTATGATTTAGTATTTTAAACCTTTTTCCATAGCTGAAATATGTTGGCTTCCTGATGTGATTAACAGGTCTTGTAGGCAAACTACTGCAATGAGACTTATCATATGGCTGCCTTTCTTCAACTTTTCCTAATGTGAAGGGAAGGGAAATGTTTAATTCCTTCTTTTCAATTTTTCACATTTTTGTGCAACTAGTTTCCATTTTGAACTCTTGGTTTTGGTTGGTTTTTTTCCCTTACAAACTGAGCTGGTGCTCCGTTGCAACAATGAAAGCTCAAGTATTGAATGCAGAAAGCAATTTACCCTTTTCTCCTCTGCAGAGGACCTGTCAAGGTCATTACTGATGCATCTGAGGCAGGGGTAGTTAACTTCAGAGCAGTGAAATAGAGCTGTTTATTCCTTCCCTGCTCTGTAGTGTGATCTTGCTGTGCTTCTATTGACTTCAGTGACTGCAGGAATGAGGCTCTTTACAGACACACAGCAGGTTTGTAGACCAGCAGTAGCAGTGTGCTTTTCCTATCCTGAACACTATTTAAAGATTAATGAACACAAGCTCTAAGACTATTTCTGGTGCAAACAGTTATTGTCACACAAACAGAACTAGAAAAGCAGTCTCTTAACAAATATGCTCATATTTTGTTTATTTTTGAGAGGTGAAATTGTCACCACAACCCCAGAGAATGGGAAAAACAGATTTTAAACTCACATGGTTGTCATGACAGAGCAAATGGTGTTCTGACCAAATCTAATGCAAATAATCATTTGACAAAAATAACTCTGGAAAATCCCAGTCAATAAAATAACATTTTTTAAAAAATTGAAAATAAGTAAAAAATACACAAAAATATAAAAGCATAGACAGGTTTGATGAAAATAGTTCCTGTTCCTGAACTGTCCACATTGTTCCTGACTGTTCCATACTGTTCCAACAGTTCTGTACTGTTCCTGAACCTTTTATAAGATACCAAGCTAAAGCACTCAATAAGTCCAACAAAACATTTTCACTCAGATATCTTTTTCTCTCTCTATCTTTCCCTGTCTGATTGAAATAAGAAGAGTGCCACTGAGCCCTGCATGGAATTAAGTGCTTAATGATAACCTGGCTTTTAGAATAATTTTATCACTACTTCTACCTTTGCTGTTTAGAAAGTTCTCTCTTCATTTTACAGGCGAGACTGCACTTTGCAGCTAATGACATCATATTTTACATCATGCCCTTTTCAAATGGAAAATTGTGGGATATATTTTCATAAGTCTGGTCTTTTTTCTTTCTTTGTGTTTTGTTTAACAGATATGTCAGATCGAGAACAAAGCACGACATTGACATGAGAATAGGGATTCATTCTGGATCAGTTCTGTGTGGAGTGCTGGGCCTGAGGAAGTGGCAGTTTGATGTCTGGTCATGGGACGTGGATATTGCAAACAAACTCGAGTCAGGTGGAATTCCTGGGTAAGGCAAAGTGCATTTCCCACAGTCAGAAAACATTGCCAGAAGATTGCACTGTTAATCTTGCCAAGAGATTAACTCTTTTACATCCTGTCATCAATTATGACCTTTTCTTTTGCTATTTTGCAGTTGGAAAGAATTAGTGAGGCTATAGCCAAAAAAGGTAGAAATGGTCTGCTTGTAGAGCCATTTGAAAAGACAAGACAAAAATATTTATTTTTCTTTGTTATCCTGATTTTCTCAAAAAGATCCATCTTTTGTTTTCAGCCCTCATAGTCCTCAGAGGTAGCTCACGTTTCCTAGTTAGATGTCAACCATTCATGAGATTTTCCAAGCTTCTCTCACCTTTTTCATTCAAATGATACTATGAGGTACAAAGCTATAATTTGTTCTATTTTATAATGCACAAACTGGGGGAAGAAATTATATTTTCCTGGGTCAATAGTCTAATAGCAAGTTGTTATGAACAGCAGGATCTCTGTTAATATAATTTGTCAAAATAATTTAATGCTTTAGTAGATGTTTTGAGATATTTATCTTAACCTGTCTATATGTGAAAATGCATGGTTTTTCACTAAAAAAAGCCTAGTTTCTTTCTTTATCTGAGTGTTTGATGTGGCTGATTCACCTGAAAGTTGAATGTTATTTCTGCTTGATATGGCCTATATATCCTGTTAGTTTGGAAGATACAAATCCTAGATTTGAGCAGTTGTGATTGCAGGAATCTTCTGTTCACTTTCAGTCCCACCTGCCATGGATGAAAAATGTAGAAATGATCACCTAGACAATTCCAATTTTAGCCATAGAATTTGGAAGCAATATCAGCAGACATCTTTATGTGGAAGAAAATCTAAATGGTGCTGTCACCTTGAATGACAGAGATTTTTAAGTCATCAAAACTGAGTCATGTGCTGTCCTCCCTACACACACATCAGGATCTGTCAGAGCTGTCATGTTCCCAGGAAATTGGAAGGAAATTTTCTTCATATATTGCAAATGCAGGCCCCTTCCACATTTCTACATAGTAAACCTTTATTCTAATATATCTTATTGGAATTAGCAGAAAATGAAATTCTGTATGCTTTGAGAACAACTTCTGTACTCTGCATATGTCACCCGTGTGTAAAATTTCAGAAAAAATTTCATTGTCTGCTGCTTATCCCATGTAATAGGCCAGATGACTAAGAGGATGCTTTGTTCACATGAGCAAATTAATAATCTAAGTTTCACCATTCACACCTGCAAAAAGCAGAGTCTATTGCTGTTAATGTGTGCAAGCTGTATGGCTATTAATGAATAACCCAGAAAATGCACAGATAAAATGCTGCAGATAAAATGCCTGGCAGGTTTTCAGTCTGCCAGAGCAGAGTGATTTCCTGGATACCAGTGTGCCAGCAGAACAAAGCCTGTGTGTGACAGCAATGAACCAAGTCCCTCAGAATAGTGATTTACATCAGAGTTTCCTGGTGTGCAGAGCAGATTTAATAGATCAGTTAAATTTATTTCATCCTCACCTTACTTCTCCATGCCACTAGCACCGAAATCCCCCTACTTATTGCAATACTGAGGTCATTCCCTTTCCTAGAGCAGCTTCACCAGGAAAGCTGCCCTGGCTTTATGAGCAGTGCTGCTCTCAGGGTGTGAAACAAGAGCAAAGATGAACTGCAGCATTTTCCTGAGGGCATAGTGGAGGGAGGCAACTGAGGATGGGAAATAATTTACCCATCCTGAGAGCAGGAAAGGGGCTCTGCTCTCCCCCTGAATGCCTGTGTGTGCCCCTGAGCCCCATCCACCTTGGGAGATGCAGGGAGAGATTGCACCTGACAGAAGGAGCATAACCCCAGACCAGCTGCCATGGGGAAGGCTCTTAGGAGCACTGAGAAAAAAATGGCAATTTCCAGTTTTCTGAGAGTAAAAAACATGTCCACAGCACCTGAGAAGGAAATTTTGTGATCTTGTAGTCAGTGACATTCTTCTGCCAGGATTCCATTTTCTAATAGTTTTTACTTAGCGTATGTGGTTATTACTCTGCAGTAGTGAATTGCATAAATCCTAAGTAATAATTAATTTTCAATGTTGTCCCAATGACAGGTATCATCTAACACTGCAGGCCTGATATGCTTTCAAGAATAGGTCAGGCAATATTTTTTGACTTCAATACTCAGGTTCTCAATGTACTGTATTTGTAAAAAATTAAAAGATATCTCTCCACATTTTAAGTTTTTTTAAGCAAGCAGAACAAAACATGAAGCCAGAAAATACTTATAATCTGCCAACTATTTATTAATACTTGGCCCATTTAAGGATATCACGTTAATAGCTATCTCCATACTCTGGTAAAGATGTTACCATATCCATCATAAAATCTATATTTCAAGGCCTTATTTCCTAAGTTATATTAGTTGAATCTAAAGAGATAGTCACCTTGGCAACTAGTGTATCACTCTCTCTTTCTTTTTTCTTTTTTTTTTTTTTAGTTTTAGGTTAGTACTTTACTTAAATCAATTTAGCCTTTTTGGATTTCTTAGGGCTAGGAATTTCATCATCTTTCCGAGAGGTCAAATGCTTTGCTGTTTCAGTCCTGGACAAAAGTTGCTTGTATTTGAAAGACATTTTTACTGGGTTTTATAATGAGTTTTACTGATTTTTCACTACAAAATACTACTAATCTCTGTGATTATTATAACAGCATGACTTTAGAAAGAGAAAGTTGTACAAAACCTGGGAAGAACCAGAGAATTTGAGACAGCTTAAAAATGGCTGGGAGACAAATTTTTAAGCTTTTAATTAGATATTGATATTTAATAGTCCACATGGACAGTTTGTGCCAAGTTGTGATACTCCTGGGCACTTCACACTGCTTAAATGCAACCAGGACTTTATTTTCTAGCAATGCATATGTATCATATGTGCCCTTATAGTATTTTATTCCACCAAACTATTATGCAATTCAATTCTGTATTGGCATCCTTTGAGTAACAGAAGGGAGTCCCCAAGGGACTTGCTAGGACCATTTCCTTCACAGGAGAAAGATAAATTGTGGTGCCTGAGAAAAGCAATGTAGCATGTGTCATCAAGAAAGGAACAAGAATTTCAGCTCACTCTAAATATTAGGAATCTGTATGGAATATGTAACTTCAGAAAGTTACATGCACTCAAAGTTTAAAAAATCAGCTGGTTTAAAGTCACTACAACTATTTTATTTGGGCCAGATAAATGCCTAATGAACAACTCTCACTTCATTCTTGATGCTGCATTGTAGAGTATAGCATAGCCAACCATGTTGATGGGCTCTAGAGGTGCCTGCAATTCTTCTACATCCAGGAACATGAAGATTCCTTAAAAATGTTTTGGATAGAAGACATCCAAATTTCTATCATACCACTCCAAAATTTGAGCTCTTTTGGATATGATCTCTTATATTCAACTTCACTTTGGCCAAAGATTACAGAACTCATTGCCTGGTCTTAATAGAAATCATTATGTTGCTTGTCTTTGCATAGTTCTCCTATTTCCCTAATTCACTTCAGGTGCAGTCAGACCACTAATTTCAAATGTTTAAGCTACCTTAGGAAACTGCAGAAAATTAAAGAACTTCAACATAAATTGCTCCAATGCCTACTATTTATTTTTCTCTCAACATACTTCCCTGAAGTACAATTTTCTTTCACTCAGAACAGCATTTTACTTGCTAACGTCTCCCATTAAACTATTAACTATGAACAAAGGTATCAGGTGTGAATGCCAAGGTGTTTTTCCTGTGACAGGATTTTGTGCATTAAAGACATCTTATTAATTTAAACATATTTTGAGGTTATTTGACCACAAATAAAGCTCATATTTTTAAATGCACTACTTAATTTCCATTGCTTGCAATAGAAAACCTTGTATTAATCCATGATGTTAAACAATATAGAGTTCAAAACCTCCTTCTAACCTATGTATAGTATAGCACAATCAGTATTTGCTACTACTTATTTCACTTACACAGGAGGATTCACATCTCCAAAGCCACTCTGGACTGCCTGAACGGGGATTATAAAGTTGAAGAAGGGCACGGCAAAGAGCGCAATGAATTCCTGAGGAAACATAACATTGAGACTTTTTTAATTAAACAACCTGAGGAGAGTCTGTTGACTTTACCTGAAGATATTGTGAAAGAGGCTGTCAGCTCCTCTGACAGGAGAAACAGTGGAGCTACATTTACAGAGGGATCCTGGAGCCCTGAACTCCCATTTGATAACATAGTGGGAAAACAAAACGTAAGTCAAACTTCCTTTAATGTCACTGAGATGAATGCATGATTGAGTGCACTTCAACAATGGAGCCCTCAGAGGAGGAAACTTCATCTCTAACCTTTATTCTAACATGTACTGTAACAGTAGAGGATTGAACAAATTGTTTCAAGGCAGAAAAATCATGTATCTAAACTGGGAAAATGCCAGTGACGCAGAGATTTTGGGTTCATTGGTTTTTTTTTTCTTTTTCCCAACTGAAATTAAATGCTGCATGGCTTATTTTTAATTGAACCACTCCACAAACTAATTAAAAATAAATCTAATGTTACTAAACTATTGGAACATTCTAGTGAGAGTGTTTATCTCATTGCATAGCTTCAATGTAGGGCCATCAAATTAAAAGGATGAGGGAAAGAGCATTTTCCCAGGGGAAAACACATAAAGTAGTTTATTGATATATGAGGGAAGGAAAAAAAAAGCACCTTGTGAAATCAGGTTCTTAGTGTCTCATTTTTTTAACAAAAAATATTAAAAACTCATACTCTAAGAGACGATTAAAGTTCACTAGCAGTTGAGTTAGACTTTAAGGACATCTGTAGCTCAATAGAAATATGAGATAATAGCAACTTCTCCTGATCAGATATTTTCCAAAAGCACTGCATAGCTGATTGCAGCAGCCTGGGAACCAACAATTCTTGTATGGTATAAAAAAATGATTATTGTTTAGAGGAATTAAAGATGCAAAGGTTAAAATGCCCTCAGACTCCACTCTTCCCACTGCACTTGGAGGATTGATGAGTCTTTATAATATCCAGTCAGCTGAAGTTTTCCTTCATTTTCTTTGAGGGATCTGTATTGACATGATAGATCCTCTCTTCTGCTGCACACCCTTATTCCTACTTGTCTGAGCTGTCTGTTGAGCATTGTTGTGTGGAGGTCTTGCTTTTGTCAACTGTCTTCTGCTTCTTACAAATGTGCTCAGAAGTGATAAAACCTCACAATCAGTCAGCCCACAGCAGTGTCTTCATCTCTTCAAACTGAGTTGGAGCATGGCACAGTTTGCTGTTATATAAAACACCTGTTTTATATGTGTTCTGTACATCTCTGCATCTGCATGTACACTGCCTTGCAGTACTCTTCATATTTTGTTGACCTGTCTCTATATTGTCATTTCATTAGAATTAGAGATACGGGTGCATGCTGCTATGACTATCTTGTCATCTCTCTCTATATCTTTCCCTTTAAGATATTCCAATTTCTGTAGTCCAAAGAAATCTGGGCAGAGTAGTCTTTAATTTTTTTGGTCATTTTCTCAACTAAACCTGACCTTGATGCTAACAACGAGAAATAAAAAAATAAAGGATTGTTTTTTATCCATTTTTATCCAATTATTGAACAACTCCTAGTACTAGTAAAAAGGACTTGAAAGTAATTGAAATAGGCATAGCTTAACAGCTTCTTTAAAACTTTCTTTTTCTTATAGCAATAAACAATCTACTTTTAGAACAGTTTCTCACAGGTTTTTTTAAAGAATTTGAAGTGGTGTTGGGAAAAGCTGTAATTTTATATAACACAGTTTAACAATAAGCCTTTTGGTGGAGACAGGATTTTAAAAATCTGCTGTTCCATGTATGATTCAATTATTATGTAATTTTTAATTTACAGTTGAGACAATAGGCAGTATTGCTCATAAATAATGTGTTTTAGCTAAAAAATTCAGATGATGGATTTAAATTATACTAGGATGTAGTAGCATTTTCCAGAGGTGTGTCAGTCTTGGACAGAATAAGCATTTAATAACACTAATTAAGCAGCTTAAAGGTCACTGTCAGCAGCAGGCTTTGAGAATTGTAGAAGTAGCAACCCAGCAGTGAATCACTCTGTATGTTTGAATATTAGCCAATTGAATTTAAATTATTTCTTTACTCAATATAAATTACAACAAAATTTGAGCAATTGATCACATGTACCTTACTTTTAACTCTAGTTATGTTAGGAAGCATGTGAAAAGAAATCTCTGGGATGTTCTTAAGCTAAACTCAAATTTATCCCAACACACACTCATTATCTTGAACTGGTGTTCTATGAACAGCTTGAATCAGTGAATTGTAGATGTGTTTATGTGAGTAAGAAACAACCACTTTTTATAGGCAGTCACAGATATTAGCAAAAACTACACCTATAGCCCAGTTATCACTATGTGCCCTTGCTTTGATTGTGAGGTAAGCCAAGGGTGAAAGTTCTTGTCTGAAATTTAGACATGCCCAATATAAATGGAGGTTTCTGGTAGTGAAACAAGTGCCTAGGCTTCTTACTTAAAACAAAGAAAATTGGACAGAAATTATTTTATTTCAAGAGAGAAAAGACCTCCTCCTCTAGAATGAATTAACGACTGTTGGATTTCTTCCATGTACCTTTGAAAAGGAGTAGCTGAAAGCATAACTTGGTCACTGGTTGTGCTGGTGGAGGCACCTGATGGTCCTGTCAGGATGTGAATTAGGAAAAACAGCATATTAAAATGTCTGTATTTTATAGGTGTACCTTAGTAGTGGTTGTAGTAAAGCTTAATAGTGAGCATAGAAACTATACTAAAAGACTGCCAAGATGACAGACAAGTCTAAAGAAAAGGGTGGAAAGCAGTGTGTTACAGCTGCCCCATTGTAATTATTGTTGTTATTTCTGTGCTGAGGTGCCCCAGCTGTGCTCACCACTGACCAGTGGTACTGTGGTGTCCCTGTGTCTTGTTCCACACTTTCTGGCTCCTGACTATTGTCCAGTCCCCAAAGCATCTCTGCTGACCACATCTTCATATGATTGGGCAACTGAAAGTATCTGGAGTGTGTATTGAAAGAAACAGAAGTTTAGACACCGAGCAGGTAGACACCAAACTTGTACACACCCTCATTTAGGTGTCTTCCTCTTGAGGTAAATCCTACCTCCAACCCGTCTTTTTAAGCATGTGACCTTTTATTTTCCTATTTCCTTCCAAAACATGATGCTCACAGTATGAAAAAAGTAATTCAAAACCTTCCTAAGATTTTCTAAATGACACAGATTAAAAATTTCCATTCTTGTTGAGAGCTTTGTGCTTGGACTTTTTTTACAGGAAAACTTCCCAGAAAGGAATTAAATCTAATCTTTTAAAGTCTCTATAAAATTTGTCTAAAGTTGGAAGTTTATTATTTTTGTTTGTTTTAATTAATCTTTCAGTTTCAGATGCAAGTTTGGCTAGCGTTTGTTGTTTTGTTGGTTTTTTTTTTAAAGAATTTTGTGTTTGTTCCTGTATGATCAATGGTTATTGTCAGCATCAGAAAACTTCAAAAGCCCGTTGGAGAATTCACAACTGTGTCTTCCATAGAGCTGCTCACAATAGTGAGGGAGAGATAATAGGAAGAATCAATATTTCTTTGTGTTTGCATAAAGAAGTCTTAAAAGATGTGGAGCAAAGAGGGGTATAAGAGAAAAAATGTGGTTAGGACTTATTCTTGAGACAATAATTTGCATGATGTTTTTTCATTGCTTTTATATCTAAACACAGGAAGCAGTTTTCTTAGGTATGTGCATGTATATGAGGGAGAGAAAATTATGAAAAAAATATTAATTTCCTTGTTATATTGTGAATATAAATGCAAATTCAGAGTCTATTTTTGCAAAATACTACAGGTATCATGGCCATAGTGGTGATATGTCATGTTCATCTACCATGAGATGTAAAACACTTCATACATTCAGCAAGGAGACAAGCCTTTATATCAATCACAGCTTAAAATTGAATTTTAACCAAAATATAGTTGCTTAACAGGATGAACTGAGATTATTTTCCTTGTATAAATAAAACAAAATGCTCATCAAAAACATTAGGGATGTTCTCCACCCTTATTTCCAGCGCAGAAACAGAAATACAATGTAATTCTAAGAAATCATTTTACACACCACCATGTGATGTGATCTTGTCCTTTAGCAGGGACTTCAGACACACTCATGCCCTTTCAGACACCACAAATTGATAAAAGCTTTTCTTCCTAGCTCAGTTTAAAAGAGATAGGAGTACTTAAACTAAAGTAGTGTCACAGTGTGTAATAATATAGCATTTATCCACTTGCCTTGATTGTTTCTTCCCAGGTCAAGATATGAGTTCAGACATATCTGAAACCTGAGCATGAGAAAAGTTTCTTTGATACTGTGTTTTTCTCCTAATGTTGATAATAGTGATTTGCTAGACAGGAGAAGGGAGGATTCAAGTTGAGTGCCATCCCAAACCTTCTCTACTGAAGTCCTTTTTCTACTAAACAAACAGGAAAACTGCTTTTCACTTGAAACAGAGAGAAAATTTTCTGCCTGTATTTTGGGATCTTAAATTACTGTTAATAAGATGGAATATGAAATACTATCTGTGACTACAGAGTCCATGGACTTGATTTTAGGATTGTAAGGAAAGTTGTCATCTGAGCTTTGGCAGTTGGTACTTGAGACCCTTCCTGTGTTTTAATGTGCAGCCCAGATTCATTAGAATGTGTTTGTTTATTATAGTTTGAATATTAACAAGGGAAACCTGCCTATAGCATTTGCCCAATGTAATCCTGCGATAAAAAAGAATTTGTATCAGAAAATTCTTTTGTATCACCCCTGGCTTTTCAGGGGCATCTGGTGACAGAACATCCTGAGTTCCTGATTCAACAATGCCCAAGAGGAAATAGAGCTGAAGGTCTTTTCAGGAAGGACCTGTGGAATAACTTTTCTCAGGCAGAATTTTATTTCCCACCCATAATAATGCTGAAATGTCTTATGCTATGATGTATGAAGTTTCACATCCTTTCCATTCATTAACATTTCTTAACCCTTGGGAATATTACAGTAGTAGAGTTTCTTTTCCCATTCAAGTGGGAAAGAGTTGCTTCACTGTGGTTTGTGTCATGAAATGGCACCATGAAATGGGAATGAGTTATTCTCTTCATGAAAGCAAACTCTATCTCTTTGCTGAAGTTGAAACACCCTTCATACTATATCTGCTAGAATTCCTTTGTGAAGCAAAAGTATTTTCATTTTTTCCTTTAATTAGTCATTGAAATACCAAAAGAATAATGCATTTGAGATGATATTTTAAATACTAATATGAATTACAGTTAAATTAAATCATATAGCCTAACTGTAATGTAGATTGGCTGAAACATACCAGTAGTGAAGAAGAACATATTATCTGAAAATCCAAGCTGAAGTAATCAGAAATGTCACCTTCTTCACTCCTGACTAAGTGATCTGTTCCTTAACTACACACATGCAGTAACTTTGAGATGTGAAAAACTTCAGTACTCCTTTGTTGTGGATTTTGTTTTATATAGCTTCCATTCTTGTTTAATAAAACACACCATTGAGTCAGATATTCTGCTGCGATTTTGGTGTGTACTCCCCTCATGCATGCTTTAATAATTAAATATCAGATTTGGAAAGTGGAATATAGTCCTAATGCTCAGTGCAGCTACAAACCTCCCAGCCTGTACAAAAGAAGTCATTAAAATGTCCCACTTAATGTACTTAATGTACTGTATGTGTCTAGTGGAACAGAATTATGATTTTACACTTCTATAGATTTCATTGAATGAATTGCATGGAATGCTGTAATGGTTTGCAATGCAACATGAACTAAAACATTGCATTTTTAACCCAAGGGGACCAGCAGGTTTATTCTGTTTGCATGTGCTTTCCCCTAGACTCTGGCTGCCCTAACAAGAAATTCAATAAATCTGCTTCCAAACCATCTTGCACAAGCTTTGCATGTCCAGTCTGGGCCTGAGGAAATTAACAAGCGAATAGAACACACCATCGACTTACGGAGTGGCGATAAATTGAGAAGAGAGCATATCAAGCCTTTTTCACTGATGTTTAAAGACTCCAGCCTGGAGCATAAGGTAGCTGGGGCTTGGTAGCTGCAATATTAACGACTCAAATTGTAATAAATGTTCACTGAAGTAGAAAAGCTGTAGGTTCTGGCCTGTGTTGTTTTTTTCTTGCTTTGTTTTCCTTTTTCATTTTGTTTCAGTTTTCATAAGGCGGGGCTGAGCTAGAGTTCATAATACACAGTGACATGATGCAGGTGCTATAATGCTGAAATGATTGCATTTCCTTGTTGGAAAATATGTACGCTGAACAAACTCAGTTTCTGAAAACAACAACCACTGGCTGGGTTGAACTTGGTATCGAGTACAAGCAGTTTTCTGTCAGATGGCAGATTACTTTGGCGCTAATGGTGATTGAGCATATTAATAAACTTACATTTCTATTCAAAAAATACAGATCTATATTTATATAGATATGTTCCTTCCATTTAGTCATAGAATCCCTCTCATGTCTTCTATGCAGCTGCAATACTTATTTCAAGTCAAGAGTAATTTTTCAACTCTCTGTTTTAAACATCCCTCTTAAAAAAACTGTTTCTAAGAGCTAAATATGGTTTGTGTCTTTGCTTCTCCTCAACAGCAATATGATCTCATTAACTTCTCTTTCAATCTACATCCAGATGTAAGTTATAAATTTTAAAGGATAAGGTAATGGGAGAACACTCCTTGAAAGCTGATGGCATGGGGTGAAGTTGCACAGGACTCAAATAATTTCACTGACTTTCTTTGATAATCTCACATGCTATGACAGTGCAGTACAGCAGGTCTACAATACTATGTGCATTTGACTGAAAGGAAATAAAAATAACAGGGAAATGAAAGCATGGAGGCATGGAGGTTCACTTCTCTATCAGCACTCTTACTTCCACTGGAAAACAGACATTTGTACTTGATTTATGAGAGACTAGTCCTCAGGAAGGCTGATTAGTGAGAGCTTTATCCCAACTGGAAAAGAAAAATTCTGCCTGAAGTATACCTAAGCCCTTATTGCACTAGTAATCTTGAAGTAGAAATAACAAATGCTTGCTAGAACAGAAATACAAGATTGCATTTCCTCATGAGGAGTTACACTGAGACACAAGGTAAAACCCCCAAAACCAAATTATCCACAATTAATTATCTGCTGAAAAGGAAGATATAAAGATACTTCTTTCAGTGCAGTCATCATGCAAAGCTGACACAGACCCAGAGCAAGAGAAATTCAAGATCTCCGATATCAAATTAATTACTGCATGAAGTCCCAGAAGTCATGAATGATCGTTAATCTTTTCAAAATACAAGATAAAAAAATATGGTGAAAGAATCTGAACTTTTTGTTTAAAGGAGGAAACAGCCTGATCACAAACAACTTGATGAATGAGCAAACTTGTCAGTGGCTCACCTTACTTTACTGTGCTATTTAATCACACAAGGACCAAGCACGGGCTGATGTAAAAGGACACTGCCCAGAATCAGAACCCATATCCAGAAAATAAATTCTCTTATTATTTAATATTTCACAATTGTCAGCCACAAAGAAAAACTATAAGGATAGTGTAGAATTCAATTTAAATGCAATTTAAGAAAATAAATAAGATCCATGCCCTAATCCACCGCATTACATAAGTCAGATTTAAATTATTAATAAAGTTTTTAATTGCATCTGAATGAAAAAAGTCTACTTAAAAGTTAAAACTTTTAGCAGATTTGGTACATTTTCTTCCCAATAAGATATTTTCAATTGAGAATTGGACTGCAGTCTTTGGAGAATTATGCTTTCATTCAATATTTCCTTAGGTGTTAGTCCCAACTAGTAGCATGGGCAATAGAAATATGAAATCCATTCAGCAAAGTTGACTGAGTCTTCTCTCTGTTCCACAAATTAATCTGGTTTCTCATATTAGGAAGGAGTGAAGTTCTATAAAATGTCACCACTGCTTTATTTGTTCTGGCACATGCACCACCAACAGCTGGGCAGCCTCTGGTCAGCTCCTCCTTGCTTCTGCTCAGGGTGCTCAGATAGTGATGGGAAATGTACCAGGATACAAAGGAATGATGTGGATTAAGGGAAGATGAATCATAGTGTCCTCCTTGTTGTGGACAGGAGCAATTATCTTATGGAACAGCATGGGAAATGTCCCTTCCCTCCTGCATGTACAGTAATTACAGTTTTGTCCTTTTAACCTTAGTGTTTAACCATAGGTTTCAGAAAGTCATGGAAAAAGTAATATTTGAACTATTTTCCTGCAGAAAACAACTATTTCATCCATCCCATCTTGTTACCACCACTTTCTCCCTTCTTCCAGCCCATTTAGGAAATACAGCAAATTCAGGTTTAAATAGCTGAGATCCTGGCCAAGAACTGTTACCTTTACCTCATTCAGTGAGATTGTGTTAATGTTCTGTGCCTCAAATGACAGAAAAGTGAGTAACCAGATGAACAATAAACTACATTTCTTCCTTCAGCATTAGTAACTGCCATGATGTGGGATCATGGGGTGACATGAATGGAACTGAAATGTTACACTGGACCTCTGTTTAAACAGTCTGGGTTGGTTTGATTTTTTTTCTCACTTCAAAGCAATCCCAGATATCAAGTTTACATTAGCCAGGAAATTTACACATTTCTCCTTTTAAGATTTCAAAAGGTTAGGAAAAAAATCCCAAAATAATTCTGGAATCAACATGCACAAAACTACCATGGGGCTAGAACAGATCCTGGTTTTCACTGGTTTAGATAACTGCTATGTCACTGCAGTTTAAGCCACTGGAACATCTTGTCACTCCTCTCTCTTTGTCCCTCTGTGGTAACAGGATAAGTGTGTATTCCACAGCAGGCAGTAGCAGTCACATTAGAGAATGGGTTATCTCTCTCAGGCATTATTTTCCATATGAATTCTGCAATCCTTCATTTTTCATAGGATTTGTGCAGGACCCCACCTGGTATATCTTATAGATTCTTTACTGAAATTGACTGGTCATTACAACCTGTATTTCACTCATTAATGCTTGATATATCATTTAGAGACAATGTACCCTCAATTTTGCTAGAGTTTTTTTTTCACAAATAGCATGTATGCAGATCATCACAGAAGGTACTTCTGATGGTAATATGAAAAGATACTAAAATTTCCAATTATATAATGGCTCATAGGAAAATCTGATCCTACTTCAGATTGTTCCAATAATTAAAAGATATCATCATGATGATCTCCCTAAATATCAGCAATTTTAAAATATCCATACTATATACTTTCATACATGATAAAGCAGCGGCACAGGACAGGGAATTTTACATGCTGGTAGGGATTTATTAAAGAAAGTTTCCAATGTAAAGGTTTGTATAAAGATATTCAAAGTCTTCCTGCGTATTTGTACTTGGATTAGAAAACAGGCTGGTTTTAGACGTGAAACATTTACGTATTCTCTGTGAGGTGAGCACAGTGGAAATATCAAAAGAGCTTTGAATTTCAAAGTACACATTTTCTTAGTTCAAATATTAGACCTAAATATCTGAGTTTCTCTGTTTCACAATTTCTGACTGCTAACATAAATAGAAATTACATGGGTAGGAAAACAATTTTGCTCCTCCTGCTTGCTATATCTCAGTGGCCACAGGCATCACCTCCTTCCTTAACTCAGAAACTTCCACTTGCAAGGAGGTCTGCAAGAGATGCTGGGCAAACTCTGTGCCTGTCCAGCAACTTTTCTATTGTTGATCAGCAGCTGGATCTCTGTCTCCTCTTTCGTCTTCCCAGAAGTTCATTTTCTCTCCTGTCTTAGACTTCTTGAAATATATTCTCCCATTCCTCTCCTGCATTGCAGAAACTTTTCCAACTTCTCTGATGAAGAACAAATGGTCTCCCTTTGCATCTATAAGATCCTCTCTGAGTCAAGGAGCAGCAGGGAGGATAAGACCAAACACCTTCCTCCCCAGTGCACAAACATTTTCTTTAGGGGAACATGTGAAGCCTGTCATATTACTGGTTCTTTCCTTTCAAAGAGGCTTTGGAGGAGAGAGGTGAGGAATAAGCAGCATTCTCAACAGGAGAATCCTGGCCTTTCTTAGTTTCAGCCAGCAGGTATTTCCTCCCAGCAGTGCAAGTAAATGGCCTGAGCCCCATGGGAGCCTTCACTGGCCCATGACCAAGTCACACCAGCACAGGAGGCTCTGTGGGGTGTCCAGGGAAGGTTTTCACTGCAGACAAGGTCACATCACAATTCCTCCACTCTACACAGCTCTGGTTGGCGACATGCCCTCCCCATGATTTTTGAAGGGCCTCGAGGCTTAGTGAATCCTTCAATTATTTCTCCAAGTCATTAAGGGGTAGACTGCTACAGAGCTGCTACATTTATCATTTATTTCAGTGCTGCCTAGGGATGCCAACAATTCCTCATCAGAATGTTGTTACTGATTAGAACACAGCATCCATCCTTTTGACATAATGCTCAACACAGCAGGCCATTCTATGTTTGTGCTTCATTCATCTAGTTTGCCTTAATTTCCCTATGGAACAGTTGGGATTTCATGTTATATTTTAAGGAATGTACCTTTCTTTTTCCTATTTGAATAAAGCCCTGGTCCATTATTTATGCAGACTGATGCAGTTCTGTTTCCTTGCACATGAAATCAGGGTCAGTGCCTCTGGGGCTCCAGCAGCAAAATGAAGTGGAATTACCTGTGGCCAAAAATCATGCCAAAGTGATACTGCCAACAGCAGACACGAGGTGGAATCACAGGAGAGGAGGAGTCAAAATGAGGGACATCAACAAATGTCCCCCCTCTCTTACTCATGACAAATGGGAGTAGGGAAGTGAAACCTTTTTTTCCATCTGGGAGCTTGCGACTATTTTGATCAGATGTTTGTGCTGAGATGATGTCCCAGCCAAAGATCCACGTAGGGAAAGTTTAAGTCTAAGTCTAAGTCTAAGTTTAAGTTTAAGCTAGGATCTCCCTTTCAAGAGCAAATTAGCTATGAAATCCAGTTCAAAGCTGGACTCTCTCAGTGTATGTTCTTGACACATTTCTTAATTTATTTTTTTTTTATGTGATAATGCTTTCTAGGCATTAATAACAGCAGATCTCTCTATTTCCAAATACCTGAAGAGAGATTCTGGTATCTGATATTGCTTTGACTCGTATAACCTTTTTTTCAGCCCCTTTAAAATAGCAAAGGTTTGAACAAAATGAAGTTATTTTTCAGAGGAAGAAAAATGACTGGGGCAAGCCTTTGCAGAATTTCTTATAATACAAAGAAACTTTGGTGGTATCCATAAAGGGTATAGAGAATTGCAATTACAAAACATATTCCTCTGGACTAATCTTCAGCTGCTGTAAACAGCTGCAGTTTAATTGAATTAGCAATGATAAATAACAGCTGAGGACTTGGTTAATATTTCCATTTTAACTGATCTACTGTGGTCTATCGATGTGTCTGTTACTCCATTTCTGGGTAATTTCCATTAAAAATGGAACCTAATAGCATTCACAGTTGTTTGATATGCTCGAGAAAAATATTTTTTCAATAAATCTTTATGACAGTGCACCTCAAATAGTCTTTTACATTTGGAGAATGCCCATATTGCCAAGTTTCCACAGAGCCTCTGACTTTGTTAGGATACAGAGTTTCAGCATCCCAGCATCCCAAATAGTTTCAGAATGTTCTAACTAGATAATTTTCTTTAAAAAAGAAAATTAGGAAAAATAGCAGAGCAGCCTCAATTTAACCATCATGGAGACCCCTCTGTGCCATCATGCATGCAGAGTCACAGATGATTCCAGTGCTTGTCTTCATGTGAGGAAATTCATGGTTTCTCTGGTTATAAAGTATTTTATTAAGCAATTAAATGTTTAGTTTTCCACACAGCAGCACAAGCTCCTGGTATCTACCTCAGGATTTTTAAAGCAAATAATTTTGAACAAAGCAGAAAAATTTTGTATTTCAAATTACAGATTTTTGCTGTCTTGGTTAAAACATTTTACCAGATTATTAACAATTTATTTGATGGGTTTTATTTTCAAACAAAATTCAGGTTTATTGATTTATTGGTCCATTGTGCTAATTTTCCCCATGTCTCCTATATACATCAGGCTTAATGAAACTACTTCATGTGTTAACAGCTAATTTACTTTTCTGTGTGTGTTTTCTTTTTTTATTCTAGTATTCTCAAATGCGGGATGAAGTATTCAAATCAAACTTGGTGTGTGCATTTATTGTTCTTGTATTTATCACCGCTATCCAAAGCTTGCTCCCTTCTTCCAGGTAAATACAGAAATATATCTCTATATATCTGAAGGCACTCTTAGGGACACAGTGGAACAATATTTTTAGGATTGATGTGCAATGAACCAATAAAATCTGCTCGTTCCCCAGAAGTGTTTGGAAATATTCGGTCACTTTTTTTGCAATACTATTTTTTTACCACAATATCTACAGCTACGTGTTTTCAAGTTAGACAGCAACATGTGCTGGTGTTGTCATGTTTTCAAGTAGAACTACCACCAAGTTAAGTGGAAATTTTGAGTTACAAAAATTTGCTCCAGTGTGTCCTGGTGAAACATGATCCAGAACAATAGCTGTGCCTCTTTGCTAAGTGATTGATAATCACACTGGGTATCAGTGACTCTCTTGGTTTTGTTTAATAAATGCTTTGTAAGAGAATTGTACTGCATGCTTTGCTGCTGACAATGTGATTTGGCCAGCTGGGAAAAGCAATCTCAGGCCATTAATAAGCATGGAGGTGATCTGGTAGATCTGTTTTCACTTTGCTCTCCTCTGGGGCTGACCAAGAAATATATTGCTATCAAGGTGATGAAAATCTGACATAGATGAGACCTTGGTGTCCACATTTCACAGATTCAAACATATCATTTGGCATTTTTGTCTACAGTTTAATAATGAGATCACAAGAGTATGTTCAAGGACTGAGGTCAGTTTTCTAGAACAGGACTGCCACTGTAACAACCCTCTGGTCCCATCTGGTCTTTCACAGTGCAAGTGTTAAAATTCCCAGAATAACATATTTCTTGGGTAGTTTCTAGCACTCAGATGACCCTTAACTTATGGCTGACAGCAGAGTAACTTTGAAAATATATTATTTGTACAGGAAATAAGACACTTGTTGTGTTACAGTAGTGCAGCAAGATTTCTTGGATCATTTCTGGAAGATGTGAGTTACCAGGTTGATGTCTGAGAACACCAAAGTGGGGGTTAGGTGCAGGCAGCAAATACATTCTGTAGCAGTGTTGTCTCATATGTTTTGTAATTCTCAGCTGACAAAGTACCTGGAGTAGCATGTGACCTTCTGTTGTTCCTTATGTGCTATGTTGCTCCCAGTAAGTTTCCTTGCTTTTTAAAAGCTCTTCTCCCAGTACACATTTAAAGTTCTTCACTTCTGGTAGATGGGGGTTTGTTTGTTTGTTTGTTTGTTTGTTTGTTTGTTTGTTTGTTATTTTTTTCCTCAGTATGTACAAGAAGATTTATGGATCTTATTAACAGAACCTGTTTTCCAAAAAGATTTCTGCTGCTATATCAATCACTGCCATATCAGATTTAAAAAAAAAAAAGATATTTTTTTTCTACCTGCACAGATTCATCTCTATTAACTCCTGTGAGGGTGTCTGGTGCCATGGGAGTGAGGGGGAAGGAGTCACACAAACACGTTGCCTGCAGCTGTCTCACCTCCTAGTTTCTCATCTTGCCAGGAGTCTTGTGTTTTTCCCTAAGGACCTTTTTGTCACTGAATTTTAAAGAGGCTGCAAATACAAATAGGTTAAAATTAAGGTTAAATAAATTCCTACAAGAAAAGATCAGCAGAGATTTTTTTAAAAAATGTGACCTTGTCTTCAAGAATGCCCTGGAAATTTGATTGCTAGAACTTGGGAAGATATTTAGGGAAAGGTTATTTACCACAACCCCTTTTGGAGAGAAGCTTTGGAGATACATGAGTGTTTATTGGCAGTTCCTGTGTTCTGTCAGGAGCTGAAGATCACTATCAAGGCTTAAGGAGACAAATTTTGGTCTTTTTTTTTTTTTTAATGTTCTGATAATCTGCTTCAAAAAGTGTTTCAATTTTTTAAAAAGCATGCCTGTCAACAGATGAGCAGCCCTAAAATAACAGGATAGGGGTTTTGAGTGAGAAGGTTTCAATATGCTTAAACATATTGGATGAGAAAATAATCTGGAAGTACAAATTTCCTAAGTTCCAGTTCTAAAAGCAGTTCAAGGCATGAGCAATTGAACAAACTATCACAAACTTAGACAGGATTTGGATTCAGAGAATCCTTGAAATAACTGCATATTCATTTGTTATGCCTCTGGTAAATATCAGAGAAGTCAAATACTAGGGTGGAAAACCATGGAAATAGTTTCCATGAAACCACTAACAAACTATAATTCAGTCCTCATGGTAACTTACCCATTTCCTAAAAATACATATATGAGTTTAGATTTCTGTTGAGCAAGGATGAAATTTTGTATTTGCTTAAGTAGATGTGTGAATATTTTTTGAGCTGAGTTTTTTGTTTGTGAAAATTTGGTGAAAATGCTATTTAAATTGTCATAGAACATATATTACTAAGGTTCTCGGGGGAGTTTCCCAGAGAGTTTACCTTAGTCTGTGTGTTAAAGAAGGGAACCACAAATTTAATAGGTATGGAAGTTTCAGAATTTTCTCTGTTTATATCTCTCTCCCTAAGGATAAATATTTGATCCATTCATGCATTTTTCCCTGACAGGGCAGATGCACGTGAATTTAAAAATCTTTACGATAGTTTTCATTCTTTGAAATATGGAGTTGGGAAAATTAATCTAAGTGAGATAAATTAATGTCATATTTTTTACCATGATTGCCCTTTATGAACCCATTATATTACATTGCCAACTTTGCAGTGATTCATCTTGTCCTTCTAAAGAGGCCTGGGAGTTTCATCAATTTCCTGCAATGAACTGTTTATATGCTCACATGGACAATAGGTCTTACTAGAGTTGACTGCTGAAATACTCTTATTTCTGTCCATTTTTGACTGGGTTATTCTTGTGAAGGAAAAAAGAAAAACATATTTCAAATTGTTATAAATTTAAAAACTTCCATCTTCTGTTTTACGTAAGTTTTCCTTTTGGCTCAAATCAGTTGATTTGTACATCAGAAAGAGGGAAGGCAAAAGCTCTTTTTAAACTTCACTTGATCTTGGCAGTAAGAGAATCCCTGAAAAGAAAATCTATTGGTCTTGAACCTCTTCTTGAATGAAGGGGCAATCCAAGCCTGGTGTCCTAGTTCTGGGAGATGTTCAGATGGACAGAAAATTATTACAGTTTTTTTGTTTGGATTCCTCTGACCTCATCAATGCATTTTATTGTACTTGATCTTATCAGCATGCTCCCATCAAAATCTCAGCACAGATATGGGATTGTTCTTCTCAGAGGTCATACTATGCCACCTTCAGTTTTGCTTTCAATCAAGCAGGCTTAGTCAAAAGACAAGCACATCAATCTTCAATTGAACAGCTACAGTGGAAAAAAATTTGTTGCCTATAAATTTATTGTGAACAAACACAAGGTTTCATTTTCTCAGGCATGTAATCAGGTTACTCTGCAATTTTGGGTTTATATCCCATACTTAGGTGTGTAGATGCTCCCTTTATAGTATCTTAATTCAATAACATGGGTCTTACATGTAGAGTTTGGCAGTCCAAAATAAGTACTAATGTTTAGTGTCCTCAGGCTGGACCTCTTGAGGCTTGATCCTAATCTTGCTGAAGAGCTGAATTTGGTTTTGTTCAGAGCTGGATCAGGCTAGGTTAGCAGAACTGGTAAGCTACACCAGCAAATATAGACTATCTATATATATCTGAGGTATAGTTAGAAACTATCAGTTCCAAATCGGATCACAGTCCCTTGGCTTTGCAAAGCAAGAAAGCTGTTGCAGAATACTGCTGTACTGTGGGAAACTGAAGGAATTAATCTTGCATGACCCTCTGTCAGTGTCCATAACCCAGGATCAAAGTATAGCCACTGGAGAATGAGTTAATGTGAATATCATGTTGGCTTCCATCTGCATAAACCTGAGAGACTACTATGCAGTGAGATGAATTGTATCCAAAACCACACAGGTGATGAGCCCTCCTGACTCTCTTAACTAGGGCTGCATGGACATGTAGTCCAGCTTTTCCCTTGATTTATTGACCGGTTGTGCTGAGATTTAATGCTGGATTCTCTCTTTTTTTTTTTTCCCCAGAGTGATCCCAATGGTCATTCAGTTTTCTATCCTGATTATGCTGCACTCCGCTCTCGTGCTGATCACCACAGCAGAGGATTACAAATGTTTACCCTTAATGCTCCGGAAAACTTGCTGCTGGATTAATGAGACCTACTTGGCAAGGAATGTCATTATCTTTGCATCCATTCTGATTAATTTTCTTGGAGCCATCATCAATATTGTAAGCTTATAGGGAACCAAGGGATATTATACAGTAAAAGATGATTTATGAATTATTAAGCTTTCTGCAGGACTTGCTAACTATGTCTATAAGCAGTCTGTGATTTAGATAACATAAAAAAGGCAAAGCATCACAGCTTCAGGAAATTCAATCCATTGCTTGATCTATGTATTTCTGAAATATCTAATTATTTCTCCCTCATGAGTGTCATCTATTTTTAAAACCTTTTGTCCAACATATCCACTCTTTGAGGACCATTTGTAATTTTCTGACATGCTGAAATACTTTCTTAGAGACTGTCAATCCAAAAAATGCTTGTGGATATTAAATTCTTCCTCTCATAAATTCTCAGCTCATCTTACAGTTCTACTACTATTTAGATTATTAAGAAAAAGAAAACAATTGCTAGAATAATAATTTTTAAAATTCCAATAGAGCCCTGATTATCCTGACATATTCAGCAACATGAGAGAGCTTTGCATAATGTAGGCAGATTACAGTGTCAGACAACCTGGCAGGTCTGAGCCAAGAATGTGGTAAATATCTCACGGATAGATTAAAAGTATCACTGATAGGAGAGTAAGTCAAAGAAAGAAAAATGCTTTCCTATCATTACTGAAAAAATATAAGTACAGTAAATGTCAGGAAGTCCAATTGGGCTCAAAACTTCCTGAAGAAAAGGACAGTGGTGCATTACAATACAAACACTAAGCAATGTTTTAGAATTTAGAAGTTTTTAAATCATGTATAACAAATACCTTACAGACAAGATTTTGGTATGATTAGTCTTTATCTTAAAAAAAATTTCTAACACACTATCTATACCAAATTTGTTACTTCCCCTGGTTTCTTGTGCATTATTTTTTAAGATTTGTCCTCTGCAATTTTTTGAGTTAGCTAATCCAAAGACTGTCAAAAGAAAATTACATTTTACTGTCACACCAGTGGTTTTCTATAGAGCAGGAAACAGTCATATGTATTGTCATATATTTAGCTGGACAATGACTTGAGCCACTGAGTCCTGATCTCTATAGGAAATGACAATATTAATATACTCTCATTATTTCATATGTCAAAGTCCTTCCATAATTATAGTTTGTTCAGGAGGGACCTGCATGCATTCAAGAACAGGTAATGCCTCTCAGCCTTGCAGCTTTGTGTGTTCACTGAGTTCAAATGCGGCCAATTGTAGGGGTCTAAGACTCAGATGCTTTCTGAGCCATAAAGCTTTGGTTTCACCAGGGGGGCAAATGAGCCTTGTGAGTCTTACATGCATTCTTATTGTTATAAAATTAAATTTCTGATCCTGAAAGTCTCTTGAAAAAACACCTGGGGATATTGGGACATTCTGCCCTGCAGAGAGGTGTTCTATACCTCATAAATTTTCAGAAAGTACCATTGATTTCTGGTGTCATGGAAGAGTGCACAGCCAGCCAGGTAATACTCCTGCACTGCAGAGATGGCTGAGTGGCTAAAAGAACAAACAAAAGAGTGCCAAGTTCAAAATTAATTGGAATTTAATGATAAGAAATTGGGCCTCATTAAATGAATTCTTTAACTATTGGGTAAAAAAACCTCTAACTAGCTTGTACACACCAGGTTGATAACATGACCCATTATAATCATCCAGAGTAAATAAATATATATGACAGGAGACTCCATCTGCTTTAAGTGTCAAAACAAGAAGCAATTAATGATTTTTTCCTTTATTTTAAGACTATAATGTATTACAACTCTACAATGCTCTTTTCTTTGTATCTAATGCTCTTGGTTGGAAATACCATTAAAATCAACACAGGTCATAATAACAAAAAGCGATATTACATAATCCATAATACATAACCATAGTTTCATGAGTGAATTTTTATTCCCTTCCATTCTAAGCATCACAGTTGCTGTTCTAGGACCACATCATGTTTTGGTACAGCTAGGTCTCTGTGATACCATGAAAATGAAGGTCAGGTGTCCTGTTTCCAAAAGGATAACACTATCCATAGCAGATGAAAACAGCTTGCAGAAGGGGCACACATTCAATCTGATTTTGTGCTCCCAATTTAATAATTTTCTCTTTAGTTTGTAGCAAAGTCTAAGCACTTTGAGAGGTCATTCTGAAGAGTCCAACGTGAATCCTCTGGAAGTCCCAGAGGAGCTCATCTTTCCACTCTGTAAAAGAGCATAGGGAGGCTGATCAGATGCTGAATATCTGCAGCACAGATATCTCCCCTTTTCCATTTCATCTCCACAGCATGTTTTTTACTGCCCATTTATCCAGCTCTTGGTGCCAGGTGGGATCTGGCATGGAGAGCAGCAGGTCACCCAGTCCCAGCCCTAGACCCACACAAGCAATTAGTCACCAGTGCACAACATAGCCCTGACTTTGTTTTATTTCTTCACAGCTGTGGTGTGATTTTGACAAACCAATAGTCCTGAAGAACCAAACCTTCAACTCCTCTGCCTCTTTTACAGACATCTGTTCCTGTCCTGAGGTATTTCTGAGGGTACTTTTCAATCTGAGATGAATCCAAAAAGGTCATATGGCAACCACTACCTTGTGGTGGAGTCAGGGGCTCAACACTGTGAAGGAAGGAACATTTCCATATGTTGATAGAAAAAGCAGAGGCTGGTTACAGAAGGAATTAACCTTAAGATCTAATGGGGCATTACAAATAAAATTTAACCTTTGAACATTATACAGAACCTTTATCCTGGGAACACACCCAGCAATGATTTAATGAACCTAGTGCAATAAAACACATTACCTAATTCGTATGAATGTAATGGAGAGCAAAACTTCTTACATGACAAAGAGAGTAGTTAAACTGCTATGGTTACTTTAGGATTGGTTTTGAAGAAAAAAAATTAAAGAAACCATCTCTAAGATGAGCAAGCAGGCAACAAAATCATAGTGTTGGTCATGTGTAGATAAGAGAAGTATGTTGCTTAGAAAGTCATATGGCAGTGTCATGATACTGCCAGCAGTAAGCTCTGAACAGCAGGGATGCAGACTTTCCTACAGAGAAACTGTACTAGAGAAAAGCTGTACCCTGAAAAATGAATACAATCACTCCTAAAGCTGTGTGATTGGAGTTAATTTAAACTACATTTGGACTGTGGGTGTTGATGTTGCTATTTAAAGTCTGAAGAGCTCATGGCCATGATTGTCTCTCTCTATCCAGTATCAGCTGCATGGATTGCATTTGGCAGATGACTAATCATTGAGAAAAATGAGACAATGAAAAGATTAGAAAATAAGATATGAATAAAACTTCCAGGCATCACATTTTAAGATAGTAATGTAACCAAGCTAGATCTACAATATTAATTTTTTTTTTTAAAAAAGGAAAAAAAGTCCAAATCTGTAGCTTTATCCTCTCTCCAGCAGCATGGGAAGAATTAAAGTAGAAACATGATTCTCCCATCCTGAGTATTTTGTGGGTCTTGTGGAAATTTAGACTCCAAAGGAATATAAATTATTTTCACCCAGTAGACTTTTCAGTAGCAAACTACTGCATGCAGCATCTCTCCCTTTCCTCTTTTAATTATAGAGGATGCTGTTTCACTTATAATGCAATGAAAATGCTATAAAGACGCAGAAAAATAAATGATCTTTGCTGACATGGAGGTACCATGAAAAATATAGAATTTGTAATTTCACTTCTATTTTAACAAAACATTTATTTTCAAAGTGCCTGGGCCCTAAAAGGACTTGGCCGAGCACTGAAATCCAAAATAATCTTCCCATACTTCTGGTTACTTGATTGTTTACATAGATGCTTGTCTGTGATCACCAGGATTAACCAGTGCTGTTTTCTGTGCAGTATTTTGTCTTCACTGGTGTGCTGGCAATGGTGACTTGTGCAGTCTTTCTTCGTCTCAACTCTGTCCTGAAGCTGGCAGTGCTTCTCATCATGATTGCCATCTACTCTCTGCTGACTGAGACCATTTATGCTTCCCTATTTCTGCAATATGACAACTTTCACCACAATGGAGAGTAAGTGTTCACAGCCCCCTTCAGAAGCTGCTTTTTCTCAAGGTGATGGTTCAAGTCTTGCCAGAGTATGAGAGTATTGGATAGCACCATAGTTAAATGTGGAGTGATGGTTGCAGCAGGCAATGACTAATTCAAAATGATTCATAACCTGTTTTTTTTTTCTCAAGCCTTTTTATTAAAATGTTCATTTCATGAGGGCATTTAAATATTGATCAGGATCTGTCTTTTATGTCTTCTCTAGTCTATCAATGCAGACTAAAAATATGCATTGCAATGCACATACCTTGGTCATTTCTATTCTTGAAAGCCCCAGAGATATCAGTTGAAAAATTCCCCTCAGTTTAAGAAAACAGGATTGAATGATTGATTTTTTAGAATAAAATCCAAACAAATAATATGCACTTGGGAAAGATATAAGGAACACAGGCATGGTCCTGTTTTGTAGGAGAGTGCTTGAAGGACATTCTTCTCCTCCTCCTCCTCCTCCCAGGTTTCTTTCCCAGGAAGAGGAAGTGCAGAAGAACCACAATGATTTTCAGAGTCAGAGATGCAATTAGTGTTGCAATAACTGAATCTAGAACAGCAGTAATTTAAATCATTCAGAAAAACACTTCTTTGGCCTTTGATACTTGACCAGGGTAGTATTGCTGTTCCTTGTGGTTGTAAGTGCAGATGAAGATGCAGCGTGAAAGAAAAGCAGGGATTTCCAGTACAATTAATTCTCCCAACAGCCACATCCCTACACATAGCAAGGCTCTGCATGAACACCTCTCCTTACTTGCTTCCTACAGTAACAGGGAACCAGAGATTTGGGCTGAAATTCCTTTTTCTAATGCTAGTTATCATGGTACAGACTTATCATGTGTCCAGAACAGACCCCAGCAAACCTGAAAAATGGCAGTAAGCAATACTTTGGCAAAGTAACTAGAAGTAGAAATCATGATAATTGTAACTAACTAGGAATGGCAAAGAATCTCATTTGTGTAAAAATATTGAAGAATTCAGAGTAGCCTCTATTCCCTGTCAATAAAACTCTCTAGAGACTGTTATCACAGAAGAGTGAGAAAGAGGCAAGAATATTCCCGGAGTAGCCAACGGCCCAAGACATGGGGAAATCTGTTGAGATGCTCCACTCTCACAACAAGGATAGGAACTTAAGCTCTGCTATTAGTGAGAATGAAGTTCAAGACTGTGTGCTCTGAAAATTATTTGGTTTTTCAACTATATAAATCATTTGAATAAAAGGATTGGCAGCTCCTTACAAAACTCACCCAGCTGTGGTGGGTACAGCTACAACACCACAATATGCAATAAAAAGTGGGTTTATAATCAAGACCTTTAAGGCTCTTGCCTTTAGCCAATGTACAAGGGGTCCTTTTGGGATGTGTTCATTTGGAGGTTGCATTTTGGGCAACTTCAAAATAGGCAACATTTGAATTTCAGCATATCTGCTGATGACAAGGATACTTCCTGCCTGCTCTTGCTCTGTGTTGATGACTCATCCCACAGCAGCACATTTCCAGCACAGTAAATTCATTAGAACCACAAAGGCAGCTCAGTTACCTCTCTCACGAGAAAGTTTCCTTTTGGTTTTGTCTCAGTTTCTCCTCTTTTTTTCTCTAATTTCTCTGTCATGTGAGTCCTCTGACAAATAGCATCCCACACTTCTTTAAAAATTACTATAGAAAGCAGATCCAGTATCTGGACTTTGCTTTGTTCTTAGATCTCAAGGCAGACTAAAGATTGTCCCAAAATTTCATCCAATTTCTGGTCCTCATTTACTCATTTATTATTTTTCTCAAAATGTCAAGGTTTTCTCACCACATAACAACTTTCTTTTCTCATCTCCCTTCAACAGAATAATTGAAAAGTATCTCTGTTCAATTCAACTCCAAATTTCTTTTTTCTCCCATTTGCTTTTCTGTAAGTTTGGCTCTACCATTTCCCCGACCTGTTTTGTCTATTCCCTGGGAAACATGCTTAAAAAAAAAAAAAAAAACCAAAAAAAACACAGGCATACAGAGATACTTTCTTCAGCTTTTATTCATCTTTCCACATAACTGTAATTTCTCTCAATGTTTGAAACCTCCTGTTACTGCCTTTAACCCCTTTCATTTTATTTTAAACTTGGTTGTGCTCCATACACAGCACCTCAGTGATTTCATACAGCAGATTTCGTAGAGCCAGTACCTGCATGGCTCATCTTCTCTGCTTCCCTGTGGTCTGCAAGGGTTTCCTTTACCTCCCTTGTCACAGGCTTCTCTGGTCTCCTCTTTGTAGCTCAGTAGAACCAGTCCTAGCTACTGTTTACCATTTTTTTGGTTCTCTTTTAATCCATGCTATATCCCTGTCATCTCCAAACCATTCTCACAATATGTTTAATTTCAGCTCCTGCCTTGGAGCTCATCCTTTATCTCTGGCTTTATTCACTGGGCTTTTGCTTCCACAGCCTGGAAGTTTCCCTTTGTCAGCTCCCCCTCTGCCTTTCCCCCCGATGTCACCCCCTGCACTCCACAGGGGCTGTCCCAGGAAGGGACTGACTGACACACAGCTTGCATGTCACATTTGAAAGTGAAAGCTCATCACCTCCTGTGCACCTCCTGTCGGCTACAATTTAGTTACTTAAGATGTATCTCCAAACAGGGAGCTCTCCAATTACACTCCTGTTCTCTTGAACTAATTACTGCTAAATTAAATTTTCAAATATGGTGGATTTCTTTTTAATGAACAACAAAATTACCACTTATGAAATGAAACTTCTGAACAATTAAAACACTGACAATTAAATAACTGTATTTTACTTTGCTGTTTGTTTGTTTTTTTCCAGCACAGACTTCCTGGGTACAAAGGAGGCATCTTTACTACTGATGGCAATGTTCCTTTTAGCTGTATTTTATCATGGTCAACAGGTAATGCAAACATTTTCTTCAACCTTTCCCTTTGTGCCTTGCAATTACAAGATGTGACAACAATTACTTTAAAATACCACCTGCCTTTTTATCCTCTTGAGCATATGACCTTTTGCAATTTAATAAACCATATACAGAATCTGATTAAAGAAAGCCCATATCTGACACTGTCTAGCATTCTTAAAGAACATGAACAATATTCTATTCAGCAATACTCAAATTACACAGCATTTTCTATTTGAAGGAACAAACAGGATTATTTTAGACACATGTGCAGTTCTGGAGGCACCTGACAGTTTCAGTGCACCTGAGCAGGCATAAACCCAAAATATAGTAAGGAAATAAAAACCAATAAATAATGAAACTTCTGTGAAATAGCTTATTCTGTTTATAGATAAAAAGCAAAAGACTCAAGGAAATGAGGAAAATTTGGGATAAGCAGCAGTACTTACTCATCTGTGTCAGGGACTACTTACAAGAATCCTTTCACATGGACCTAGACCTTAAACAGGATTTAGGGGCCTCAGAGCTTTAGGACTGACATCCTCAAGGAGGAATTGAGAAACTGGGTATTTCAGGAATACCTACACAATGCACAGGGAGAGAGAACTGTGGCAAATTTAGATTTAAAATAACAAACACATTGAATAAAAACCAGCATAAGTAGGGTGTTTTCTCCACAGGGTTTCTGCTCCCAAGCTCTGGATGTGAAACACGCTGAGTTGAGGCAGTTTCTAATCATAAAAAGCAAGGGGCACACCGCTCCAAAGAAAGCCCCAAGCACAGTTGCCTTTAGCCATTGTTGACTTGCCTAAAGATTTTCTCCACAAGACCATTAAGCTGATAAACTCCAGCATTTCTCAATCCTTCTGGAATGAGGTAGTAAGACAGGAATGATGCTGTGATGAATAAGACAATATTAGGCACTTTATTGCAATAACTTTCTAAGCTGTCCCACAAGTCAGAGCCTCCATTCCTTCCACATGAGAGCAAAAGGAAGACAACACCTAAATATTCTATTAATTTTCCTACTGTTTATCTTCTTTCTGGGGGAATGAGGAATGAGTGAGTAGGGGAAGCAAGGCATGAAATGCATTTTACATTTAAATTTGATGGAAATCAAGGAACTGTGACATGGCTTTATCATGACATAAAGTTCACTTAGGAATAATATGGAACAAATAAGAACTGAACAACTCAAATTTGGGATAAACCTTATAGTATTCCCAATGATTATTCACATATGTCAAGATAAAAATGTCAAGCTTGGCTAGGCTGAAGCCAGACAATGATCTTCAGGATCCCAATCCTGAGTGTAAATATCTGTCTTCTACAAAAGCCTGCTCTGGGGTGTTTAAGAGTGTTTTCAAGCCCAGAGGCCTGTAAGCAGAGCACAAGATATTTTCCATTTTATTAACCTTTCTGGTTCCATAAAACAGGATGGCTGCATTAGAACTGCCCTTGGAAATGGTCCCTGAGATGTGCTAAGTTCTGCATGTTCTCCCAAATCGTTCATAAGGCCAGTCTATCAATTTAACAGCATCCAAAGGCAGAGTCCAGGAACATTTAATTGAATTGTTTATTTTTTTTTATTATAGAGTGAACATAAAGATTTATGTATAGTTATCAATTTAATATATATAAAAGTTCCATCAAACCACATTAAAATAAAACAATCAAAACCCCAAAACTCTTCTGAAGTGTGAAATAGGAAGCACATTAAGTCCAATGTGCTGTCCTCCAGCATGTCTTCCCATCCCACAAGCTGCAAAAGTTCTCTGAAGTAGAATAGCTTAAAAGTCGTCTTATTCTAGGTGAATTTACTGAAAGAGGTTATTTTTGTAAGATAATATTTATGGATGATCAATTTTTTAATAATTAACTTTTTATTATCCATTGTAATTTAAAATTAATGCCATATTTAGAACCCAAAATTTAAAATTAAATTTGAGAAAAAGGTGTGTTATACCATCTTATTATATTTAATTTAATTGTATCTGACAATTTTCTGTGGAGTGGTTGGGTTGAGCAGCATGCTGAGGACATAATGTTAGGCTTCCTGTGTTATACATCTCTCTTTTCTTCACCAGCTATTGAAATTAGAGGTGTTTATTAAAGGTACATATCAGGGGAGGGAAACATGGACACTTTGGGGTCTAAATCTAGGAATATTTCTTCAGAAAATCAAGCCACAAAAATTAAACTCAACCCTACAATTCTTCTAGTTTTAGCAAATGCAAGAACTTAGCAAAACATCTTCTTAATATTTTCTATTTTCAAATCTCATATGTATCACTCCTTTTCTTCTGAGCTGATAATGCCATCTTGGTAGTTCACTGATGATGAAAGAAAAAATATTTCATGTTTAAATGTGATCACAAATAACCAGAACGATGTTATCTAAAATGTAAAGATTAGCTGCTGCTATTCTGAGCTAGGCTTAGAGATGTGACATTTCCCTGTAGAGCAGCATAAAAATCAGCTCTGAAAAACTACCACACTTTTTTGCCAAGTAGTAGCATTAAATATCTAGAAGCATCAAAGAACCCAAAATCCAGCAGCAGCTCCTGTTTGAAGTCAATCTTTGAAATACCTTTAGAACTCTTTGAAAACTTACAGATAATTTTTTCTTCTCAGTTAGTTGGTAGAGATAAAAGTCAGTTATCTGGTATGGGCTCTGTCTTCTAACATAAAAGAAAGGCAAAGAAAACGGAAAAAGGTTGAAAAATATGTTTAAAATACTCTTTTCTGACAGTCTTTTATTGTTGCCATTAATTCGGGAGATTAATGGACACAAGACAGAAGACCAACATATCAGTAGAAAGAAGTTTGTTTATAAAGCTGGCTACAGCACCCAGAGGGCAAGAAAATCACTGCCAAGTTGCATACAGGCTTTGGAAGTTTCTATCAAGCCACAGTCACTTTTAGCTTTTAGGAAGGAAAGCTCCCTAGAGTACAACCAAAAAATAAGGTCCCTTGCAAAGTGCTTGGATTTTTTTCTCCTGAAGAGTTTGCCATTCATGACTGCTGCTGACTAAAACTGTGACCAAGATGAGTCACCAAACAATGCCTGAGCCCCCTCTTAGTCATTCCCACCCACTGCAGGCTGCTCCTTTATTTTAGTTTGGTATATGAATTATATTTCAAAAAATTCCTCTGTCCCAGCACCATCTGATGTCTTTCAAAATTGTAAAATTCATCTATTTGCTGCCACAATACCAGCAAATAGATGGGTCTTCTTTGATGGGTGTTACTATCTCTGGTTGGAGCATCTCAGACCTCACAAATAAATGTTCTCTTTCAGTTTACCAACAATATATATATATATATATATATATATATATATATATATTTCCATCATTTTCAGTAGTGCTGTAGCTTAATAAGTCACCCCTTGTGCAAGATACAGCATCAGCTGCCTTGAAATCTGCTTAAAACTCTGCTTCAGTGTGATGCACACAGAATCTCTGGCAGTGTTGGGTTGTCCATGTGCTGACACACGTGTGCCTCTCAGGCAAGTGACACGAGGCTTCAACATGTTCCCTGCCTCAGCTAGGAGACAGCTGCCATTCATACTTAAATGAATAAGAATTTATATATATATCTATATCAACAATGCAAACATATGCATGCATGTATAAGCTCTGCTGTGCACAGAATTTGTTCTGCACACACACCACACTGGAAATTATTTCACTTCAGTTTTTAGCTGTGGGTATAGACTTTGCATGGATAAATTGTGATTGTAGACTCTGATCCCACACTACAGGCACAGAGTATTGGAGGGGATGGCAGATAGCATATTTTCTGTTATTTTTAAAAATATTAAAGTTGCAAATAACTGCATGTCCCAACAGTACAGCTATATCGTTTTTGTGCTACAGATTTAGACATTCTCTTTGGGTTCACTTTGGGCTGTTATACAGTTTTGATGAAAGATGTTCATTCTTGAGAAGGACATCCTTGCCAAGAGTTTAGAGTTAGCCTTTTGCTAATTTTCTGATTTAAATTGAAAACACTTATGAAAAGGGGAATGTATTTATTTCATATCAATACCTGCCAACGCCTTATCTCCTGTCAGACTCTGTTATCTAAATAATAAAGATATGCTTAAAGGGAAAATAATTTGGTGACACTTTACATCCACTGACCATAGCAGTAATATGCCAAATATTATTTTGCTCACAGTTACTCTGAGAGTCTCACTGCACATAAGGCAAAGAAATAATCTCTTTTTCTGGCAAGAATATCAAATTGTTTCAGAGATCTCCAGCAGCACTGAAGGTGGTTGCATGGCAGGAGCAGCCTGCCAGGATGGCAATACAATCTCTGCTCTTATCTTGTCAGGTTTTATTTTTGCTTCTTTTTCTTTCTGAAACCACAGCTTGAATACACAGCAAGGCTGGATTTTCTGTGGCGTGTTCAAGCAAAAGAAGAAATCAATGAAATGAAGGAGCTGAGGGAGCACAATGAGAACATGCTAAGGAATATTTTACCCAGTCACGTTGCCCGTCACTTCCTGGAGAAGGATCGGGATAATGAAGTATGTGTCAATTTTCTGATATTTTTGTCTAATAAGTAAAAGAAAAGTATGTCTGGTAGGAAATTGCTGAAACTTATTTCTCTATAGTATTCATTGCACAAACACTGCCAATCTTTGCTGTCTGATCAACATTGAAAATCATGTTTTGAAGTAAAGATTCTAGGACCACACCTGGAGTGATGTTCCCTTGTTCTGAACCCATCAGTGGGAAACATATGGGCCACACATAGAGAAATTCTAGCAATAATTCACCAAGATGGTTATGGGGCTGGGGGACATAACAATGAGGAGAGGCTGAGACAGCTGAGATCATGCAATTTTAAGAAGAAAAGACTCAAAGAGCATCTTATTGTTGTCTTCAAGTACCTAATGAGTGTTTATAAAGAAGATATTATTAGGGGCCTGGAACATCTCTCCTATGAGGAGAGACTTGGGAAAGAAGATGAGAAGGGATCTCATTATTGCATTTGAATGCCTCCAAGGCAGGTACCAAGAGGATGGTCCCAGGCTCTTTTCAGTGGTGCCCAGGGACAGGACAAGATCAATGGCAATAATTAAAACACAAGATGTTCCACCTCAAGGTGAGGAAGAATTGCTTTACATAGAGGGTGGCAGCCCCCTGGAAGAGGCTGCTCACAGAGGTCTGAGTCACCCTTTCTGGAGACATTCCAAACCCACCTTGATGCATTCCTGTGTAACCTGCTCTAGGTGACCCTGCCTGGGCAGGGTGGTTGGCCTGGATGACCTTCAGAGGTCCCTTCCAGCCCCAGAAATTCTGTGATACTGTGGTTTTGTCAGTCTGTGAAGGCAGAGCAGGGCTCAGCCCTCAAATCAAAAGGGCTGTGAAAGACTTGATCTTAGTCCTGCTTTGAAAGCAAACTGTACTAAATGAGATTCAGAAGTTTGTTCCAATCTATGAGTCTATGAAAATCTAGTATTTGAGTCTGTGAAAATCAACTATTCATAGAAAAGGTAGGTGAGTTTAACAGAATGTCTGTGCAAGTTTATGATCCATTGTTGCAGAAGTATTATTAGAGCCCTGACAGTGACTATGGAAGGAGCAAGCTGCAAGAGACCTGAGGCTCTCATATCTGCAGACACAACAGAACATTTTTGCCATTTCATATTGCCCCTGAATTGCCCATTTGTGGCAGATAACAAAGCTCCCATTTCAGCAACAGAGTTTGTAGCTATGTTCCTAAAAAGTGTTTGCAGTACACAAAGAAAAGCATGATAATGGAGTCTCTGAATATTCCTAACATGAAGCTTGAAGATGGATAATGGAAATTCCAGAATTTGTTTCTGAAAGCAGCAGTAAGTAATTTACTTCTCATTTGAAACAAAGTAAATGCATATTATAATATTACATATATATTAAGGTATTGTATGATGAAATTGGATTTTCTCATGCAATGTTGGAATTATCTTTTTTATGGGAAGGAATGTTGCAAGATTCACCTTGCCAGAATTGACATATCTACTGATGGTGCAGCAAAAAGGAATTAAGGCCACCATTTTCTGTTGTACATTTTGGAAATGGATGTAGGCAGCCTAATTAGACTGCTCAATGAGGAGTCATTGTGTTCTGATTTCAAGTATCACCTAGGGAAGGATGACACAGTGAGAAGCTACAAGAAAAAGCACTTTAGAAATCACTCTTGAGAAATTTTAAACTCTGTGGGTATGAAAGTGCCACAGAAACCCTGCTATGCACATGAGAAAATGTGAGTGTGAAAGCAACCAGGTTCAAATGTTTCATTGCAAATGGAGCAGACCTCGATACCAGCCAGCAGTGTGTTCTGGCATATCTGCATTATGGATTTTCAGGGAACAAATTTCCCATCTTACACTTTCATTCACGTACAGTCACATGCATAATAATCTTCAGAAGCAAGCAGATGCCCCATGGATCACTGCTGATGCTTCAATAATTTGCCACTGAATTAAATTCCACCACCCCTGCTTTTTGTAAGGCAATTTCCAGAGTAACTATACTTGGGGATGATTTATGCATGAGCTGGCAGACAGGAAAATCTACCAGATTTCAGTGCAATCAATCCTGCAGTTCATGTCTGGCCATTAAGATAATTTCTCTGCTCTCAAAAAAATGAATTCCCAAATATGTACTGTAGTGATTTCTTATGGATGTTTTATTTCTGTCCTTATGCTTCTTACCAAAAATAGAAAAATGGAACAACTGAAGGCTCAGGCAGTTGTTTTCTACCTTCATGATCCAAGGCATGAGTATGGCTGAGTGTATTCATGCTTCTCCTAGCACAGTGTCAGATCTTTCATAAGCATCCATGAATTAATGTGTGTATTACCTATTTCTATACCCACAAAAGGGAATAAGAGTGTTCTTAGAGTATGGCTTCCATGACCCTGAAGATGATCTTCAGTGCAAGAAAGGGTAAGGGCAGAAAGGGAATCAATCACCTTTTCTCAATCAAGGCTTTGCCGTGGCTTTGGAAACGAGAATAATTTCTCCTTGTTTACTCTAAGACACATTGTAAAGGAGCCTGGACAAGTAGAAGCATTAAGCAGCACATCAAAGAGCAGAAGTTCAGGATGCTTTTCTAGGGAGAAGCAGGATAAAGAAAGGCCTGAATTGGTCATGCCAAGTGTATGGCAATCAGCAGTAAATCTTTTTTATCATGAAACCAAACCATCAATATTTCTTAAAGCCACTAGCTAGTAATTTGACAAAAAAGTACTTCAGGTCATAACAACAAAAGAAATGTTCATAAACAGAAATGGAAGTGTCCACCATTACCTAAAACTACAGAAGTTTTGAAGCCAGGAAAAAAAAAACAATCAAAGGAGAATACATATGATGGTGGTATATTAGCTTCAAGAAAGGCATACCAGGAGTTGCGGTAGAAATCCCTGGAATCTTTAAAGTTGAAATTTTGTTTTTTTTCCTAAAAATTAGCTTTAGTTCAGACAAGAACTGTCTACATTTTCTTATATGCAATGACACAAGCCCCTTCATAAAAAAAATCTGTCATTCAGTACCAGAGTGAATTATATGAATAATGTAAGTGAAAGCTTATTCCAAGGCATAATTTATCCATATAGCCTTCTGTGACTGATCCCTTATAAGCTGCTTTCTGTCCTCCCCAGTAACTCTATTACCAATCTAACTTCTGTTTCTCCCTCCATTTGAACCCTAAGAGCAGGAATATCTCCCAGAGCCAGGCAACCAAAGAGCTCCACAGCCACCTTAGGAGAACCAGAGTTTACCAGAGTAAGGTTTTTCTGAAAACTTGTGAATAAACAAACTTGTAAAGAGCTGCAGTAGTGTGAAGTACAAATTATCCACCAGAAAATGTGATAACTGGTATTTGCACTTGACAATGAATCCTTCATGTATTCAAGTCATTCTTCATGTAAATCAAAAGTTCTGTTTCACTTTTGCTGGTGTCACTCCTTGACCTGAGAAACAGAAAGAGCAGGCATTCAAAGACAGGGAAAACCCTGCATATAATCTGCAATAAAAACATTAAGACCTGTCAGCCTCCTCCTGTTGAACGTGGCTAACCCTTAAAATACTCATGTCAACATCAGATGTTAAGGAGTTATACATGGAAAGATTAAGAAAGCTATTTTAATTGCTGCCAATTACATTTTCTGCATTAGGTTAACATTTCATTTTTCCTCATTTTTTCAGGAATTATACTCTCAGTCCTATGATGCTGTTGGTGTGATGTTTGCTTCTATACCTGGATTTGCTGACTTTTATTCCCAGACTGAGATGAATAACCAAGGAGTAGAATGTCTGCGCTTACTGAATGAAATCATTGCAGACTTTGATGAGGTAATGCCAGCTACTAGAGGAAACCTGATAGTGTTTAAACTATGAGTTTTAAATGGCAAATATGTCATCTTAAATTATCAGATTTGGTAATTATTTTGCTTCAAATAGTTCTCTGATATTTTTGCTCATATTACAATTGTCTGGTTTGCTTTTTTTGCCCTTCATCCTGCCAACCTTGTTCTGAATGATCTAAAGATAGAGACTGAAAGCAATACTTAAGTATAAATATCCATAAAAGCACAAATCTGCACCAGAGTATCTGAAAGTAGAAAATACTTCAGTTCTGTAGAAGAAAGAAGTATAAACATCCCTGCAACTGTTCTGAAAAATACTGGTCTAAATACAAACAGGTAAAGGTGCTGCTTTAAAGGTGTTGGTTGAATGGATTCAATGGATATTAAAGGGTAAAACAGTGTCCAGTTAAATGTGAAGCAGAGAGCTCAGAAGCAAATATTAGGTAAAGAATGGAAGGTGGTTGTGACATATTAACTGAGAAGACTTATCTGGTTAGGATTTTTGTAGAGAGATAAATGAAGTTCAGCTGCTTGTTTCACTGAAGACTTCAGCAGTGAAAGGATTTTTTTTTTTTAATAGAAAGGACACAGAAAGGAAAAATAATGTATTTATGTTTTCTGTGCAGATAATTTCAGAAAAGAAGCTGAGGAGGGGACAAGGTAAAAAGGAGGAGATAAGTCAAATCACCAATGTAGCTATTGTTAGGTGAAAGCAAAGAAAACCTGGTAACTAAAGAGGAAGTCAGGATAAATTTGTATACTCTGCAAAGTAGTTTGTAAGGAAGTTTAAACAGGTGGTATCATGTCCTGCAATGAGCCCAAGAGCAATTAGGAAAAGAGACAAAGAATAGGCCAATGAAGAGCTTTAAAAGAATTTCAAAACCAGGAAGGATGAAAAAATACTGTCAAAATTACCTAGCAGAGAGAATTTTAACCTCTATTCTGCAGGCAGTTTTCAGGAGTGTGTTGCCCTCCTGAGATCCCTGAGTGGTAAAAATAGAATTGGAACCACCTCTACCTAGCAACAAGATTGGACCTGTGCTCCAGACTGCAATGGTCCAGAAAGAAAAGGGAAGGAGGAAATATGGTGTCATTGGTCTGTGACTTCCATCCTGGGCACTTGCATGGGGAATGAGTGGTTGCTCATAAAGATTGTAGCAAGGCTAAGAGATTACTGAAATGCAGAGTTTATCCATATAATTGGTGAGATACTAAAACTATGAGTGGGAAATAGAAGAATTCACCGGGAACACTTCCCTGTGCATTTTGACTGAGAACAAAATCTCTCCCTCACAAGAAGAACTCTGTCACCTTCTAAGCTCCTGCACTGCATTCCCTGTGGATATAAATTCCTGCTCCTTACCTCCAGGATCTAGAACAGCTGTCAGCATGCTTCTTGATTAATAGTTTTGTTTTTATTTCCAGATCTGATTAAAAAGATTACCACTCAAATTAATTCATAGCAATAGTCTTCATATTAAGATATTTTGTCATGCACATTCACGTAATCTTCACAACAAAATTCCTTTGCTGCTGTGGCAATTACTGAAGACAAGGTTTTAATCAAAACCCTAACACAATATTACTTTCAGGCCCCTAACACCTGCTCTGTAATTAATAAAGGACCTAATTAGAGACTGCATTATGTCCCAGACATGTTTAGTTGAAGAATAGATATGTTCTTAGTACAGGTAGCAAATGAAATTATGGGATCCCCTGCTGACTGCTAACCTACTTGCAGCATGGTGGTGTCATTAGTTTACTCTGTCTAAACAATCTGAAAGGTGATATGCCAGACAGAACCACTGAAAGGAGTAACCTTACCCATGGAAAAGGAACCACAAATCATTCCAAGTGCAATGTTACAGGGTTAGCAAGGTTTCCATGTAATTGTTGACTGACACTCTACAATGTCACGATTCCTTCATTTTTCCCTGTGCTCCTTGCCAAAATTGCCTGCCGTCCAGTACAGCCCTGGGAGGAAAATGCAGATGTGCAGCTTGAGAGCAGAACAGCTCTGACATCCATGGGGAAACTGCAAGTGAACACCTCTGCAGAGATACCCTGATGTAGAAATCTTAGCAAGGAGTGTAAGACATGGGCACCTGATAACTTTTGATACATCCCAGGTGATTTGGGGCACCCACAGGGCGTTGTCAGCTCCCACCCTGCATTGCCAGAAAACTCATGCTCTGGAGCAGGGCACTGGAGGTGTTCAAGGCAAGAGTACTCTAGATCACCCTGAACATATGTGTTTAGACAACTGAATTGAGTTCCCAAGCTCAGATCACATTCTACACAGTGAATTGCCCCTTTTCCTTACGCAGATAAAACATTAGAGATGAAATGTCTACAGGGCTAAAATGATGCTTATGAATTAAAGCAACGGTAGAAATACAAATTTATCTGCTTTGGAAAATGTGATAGATACATGAGAAAGAAATCTGGGACATCTCTTCTTTTTAGAGGGTTTTCCTTGTCAGTGCAACACAGCAAGGTTACAGTCTGGATCTTTTACTTTGATTTCCACATAATAGATCTATGTTAGGAAGACAAAGCCAGTTACAAAAAAATATTAAATAAATAGTGAATATTGGAACAGAACCTGTCACTGACAACTGCAGGGGGTAGGTACCCACAGACGAGTCAGATTGTGACTGGGTCTTTCTTAGGGAGTGGGAGAATGTGGTCCAGAAGTGAGTTTTGCAGAATAGGTGGTTGACTATTGCCAAAATACAGCTTTCACTCAGTTTTCTTTTTCCCTCATGGTTCACAAATGTTTTTACTTCCAAATTTTCCAGTCTTCCTGCCAGCTGAGGCAGAACAGGAGGTGCTAATTTCTGGACTAGCAAAAAGAAACAAATATGAACATTGAAAACCTACCTTTTCTAATTACTTGCTTTTTATATGACTGTAGTTCTAAGACACATACAGGGCTAAAAGCCCTTTCTTAGAGATGTTAGACCAGAAAATTAATATCATAACATTTCTGCAGATATTATGAGGCCTGAAGGAATTTTTTGATGTAATATTGTTTCTAGGCTATTTAATCTGTCATTTATTTATGTTAATATTACAGTTGGGCTTTGTGTTTTCAGAAGAGCTTTCTTGTTCACAGATTCTTTTATCTTGCATTTTATTTATCCTGCAGTGATTACATAGTGTATATCACAACAGATATTATGTTGACGCAAGCAGAGGTTTTACCAGAACAATGGATACTGCTTTCAGATTCTTTGATTACTTTGCAGTTGGGTGCTATGTCCTGCAATATTCTCTTTTTGTAGAATTTTGTGATCCCAGGGTCTGATCTCCACACAACCGTGGCTGTACATGAATTGCAGCACCAAGCCATGAGTTTCTTTTTAGATACAAACCACATTCTAGTGTTTGAAAATGTGTCCCTGGACTACAATGTTAAATTAGCAGCCTATTTAAAATGTTTTTACAAATGACAGCTGATTTAGGACTGGGTTGGAATATCTTTCCCTAATATCAAAATCCATCATCCTGTCATACCATGAAGAAAGTAATTAGTAAATAGAGCATTATTTGAAGAAGGAAAGAATCTATTTAATAGATCATATAAAGCAGGGGGAAAAAAGAAGCAAACAGAAGATTTGGAAACAATAATGAATAAAAAAAAAAACATAACTTGGGATAATTTTTTCTAAATTGCATCACAGCCAATGTTTTTTCTGTCCTAAAAAGGGTAATTTTAGATATTTATTATACATTTTAAATTAGTGAGCTATTTGCTGTTGCTTCCAGCAACCATCTGGAAATGAAAATATGGACTGTTTTAAAGCAAGACCATTTTCTCCCCTTGCTCAAACACATGGTGTTCTCAGACTGCTCACAGAGGCAGAGCCACAAGAAAAAATATTTTTCTTTAAGAGAGCAGTTGGAAGAGCTGCCCTTGTGAGAGGGAAAGGTACACAATGGGCTGTTCTGGCAGTTTGAAGAAAAATGAGAAGCAGGTCAAGTCTTTGGACTTTCCTGGCTTGGATAGCAGCCATTAAGCATATGGCTTTGTATTCCCTCTGTGGAATGCTGTGCAGCCTCCCTGGGAGACAGATGGTGCCATATCTGCACACCAACAGCAAAGCTCCCGTGGCCCCAGAGCTCTGGCTGGGGTTACTTCAGTGGCTGGGGATATTTCATGTTCTGCCTTTGCTATGTTTCTCCCTTTGAATGAAATAGTGCCTTTAGTGGACAGGAAATTCCAACCCACAAGATGGAAAAAAGAATGTACAGTGTAGAAAAAGAAAGGGGAAAAATATTTTGTTGTATTTTTGCTTGACCACAAAACTGCTCTTTTCCATTTAAATGCTAAAACTTGAGCCTTTAGAATTGAAAGTTTGAAATTCCTTTTCTGGGTTAAGTGCTTTTTTTTCCTCCCATGACTTCGTAACCATATTGATCCCTAAATTTATTAGATACCATACAGTTTATCACAAAGTTTCACAGGGTATTTGGCATTAACACCAGCAACAAACAGTTCCCTATGATGAGGTGATTAATGCCCATATCCCATACTCTGTTGTCACTGATAGAATCCACATCCTGAACTCTGCTAAGGTCTTTCAAGGAATATAAAGGTCTGGCTTCTATTTCATGGAAATTCTTCAGTTAAACCATAAATATGGACTTGGAATAGGGACCAAATTTTCACTCCCACTTCATTCAGTACTTTAGTCATTCAGCTATTTTTTTTTTTCTCTTCCAGATTCTCATCTGAAAAGTTCTTTTTAACACTCATATATAGCAAATTCCAAATACATACAGTGATTTACCATTTCCCATTGGTTCTTGGAATTTTTGTTAGAAGGGGAAAATACATAAATGTATAGATTGAATGATCCAATAGACACACTGGTGTCCAGTCTGACCCTAAGTAGGGGGAAGCAGGGAATATAAGAGGACTTGGTGTCTTACAGGATTTCTTTGGAGGCATCTACCTCCATCCATTGACTGTGTATAGAATGGTTTGGGTTGGAAGATCATCTCATTCCAAACCCCCTGCCATGGTCAGGGACACCTTCTACTGAGCCAGGTTGCTCAGAACCTTAACCAGCCTGGTCTTGAATATTGGTCTCATCACCATAATTGTTGCTGTAGCAGCACTTTGCAAACCATTCCTCAAGTAGAGTTTTAGGAATAATTTTAGGTCACCAAGTCTTCTCTTCACATATACATGGACAGAGAGTTTGTCTTCACTAATATTGAGAGATCATGCCTCAGGAAATGCAGGATTTGAATGCATTTCTCTTGTATGCATGTCTTATATTATCCATTGTGGAATTTACCAAACAGCCCTCAGTGAGTAGATGTTCCAGAGTCCAAGACCAGTGTTTCCCAGGATCCAGAATAAATTGTACACCATGACAGACTGGAAAGTGTAAAGATACATTCTCAGATCTGTAGAAATATTTTGTGTTAGGAATTACAGAAGTAACAGTATTTTTCTTTTTACATATTTCTATATACATATTTCATTAGTTACTAGGTGAAGAGAGATTTCAAGATATTGAAAAAATTAAAACAATTGGCAGCACGTACATGGCCGTGTCAGGATTGTCACCTGAAAAACAGGTAAGAGGATAATTTTCTTTAAGAAGCAAAGCTTGTGATTATTCTGACCATTCATATTCAAAAATATAAGTGTTATCTTTGTGTTGTTCACAAAACTTGTTTTGCTGAAATAAAATAGACATTTGGGGCTTCTGGCAGACAGCAGTTGCACTTCTTGATGAATTGAAATGCCATCTTGTGCTTGGAACAAGAACCATATGGATCCTTTCCTCAAATTTAGGTTTATAGGAGAAAAAAGTTTCAGTCACATCAATGTGAATCTAGATCAGGTCTTTCTATATCTTCAGACATACTCTAAAGCCACCTCAGTAACTCAGACAGAAATCTGACTGACAACCTCCAATAATTGATGAAGAGAGAGGGTCTATTAACTGACAGTGTACTTATGCAAGGGTAAGTATACTCATGCTGCATTTATTCTTTATTTTTGATGCAGCATGTCTACAGACAGCATGATAACTACACATCAAAAAGAAAGCAGGTCATTGGTTCAACTGAAGAACAAACAAACCAAGCTGAGGGGATAAATAGTCACAGGGGACACATGCACAGTCACAGCCATAAACCTCACATAAGTCAGATGAGAGAAATCCATTCATAATTCCACCCAAGAATTTGCTTGGAAACAAATTAGATAAGGCTCTAAAATACATCCAGTGAGAAGTCATCTGTTGCTGAAATCTGGTTTTTTTTTGGCAACTGGTGCCAGTCCCCAGGAAGAGCTGCACAAAAGGGGTGCAATGCCTCTGGTTGATCACAGGCTGGGAATCAGATTTGCCCACATTGATCACAACTTCTGAAAAGCAGCAGCCAGATTATCATGAGCTTTATAAACCAGAAAATTTCCACTGTTTGTTAAGAATACATTAAAAAGCTCGTGGAGTGTAACTAGCTGAGCATCTCCCACCTACAGAGTAACAAGCGATGCTGACAGCTAGAAATCCATAAAACTGGATATGCATGGGATTTTTGATTGTCAAAATGCTTCTGTGTAGACATGAGCAAAGAAGGATAGAACACCAGGGAGATACTCGGTTATAGCTACACAGCTCCTAATGACTTCCTTTAACTCTGGATGGGGATAAAAATTCAAAGGGAGAAAAGCTTTATTGCCTTTCCAAGACTGATTAATTCATCTCTTTTCTTGAACTATAATAGCTTAATGGAATTTTAATGGGTGTTTTAAATGTACTTGTCATACGTACATGTCTGCCACCTTGTCAGCACCTAAGAGGTGCAGGCTGCTGAGGGAGGTTGGCATGCTGAGAACAGAGCCAGTTCAGGATAAGGACCAAGCATGGTGTGAACAGAGCAGGGTGATGCCAAGGAGAGGTTCATGTTCAGTGTTAAACACACAGGATGATGAAAACTGCAAGGGCTAGACTGCATCACCCAGGGAGAGACTTCCAATCCTTTGTATTATGAACTATGAATTTGTAGAAGGAATTGCCTTGCTTCAGAACAGATGAGACGACATCAAACAATCGTTGGGCCAAGCCCACATCCATCTGTTCTGCTGGTGTTCTGGGAAGACTAAAGCCTACTGCTGGTCCCCATCTGTATATTGACTGGTTTGTACGAATGGAAGGGAAGGAGCAGGGAGTGACTTGCCTGCCCTAAGCAAGGCAATTAATGAGCTACAGAAGAGCCTTTTCTCTCTCCTTTGAGCAATCCCAGATTGCCTGGCTTGCCCTGTTGTTCCTGTCATCATCACATCTCTGAGAGCACTTGAATTGATGCTTTTCCTGGGTACAGTGTCAGCAAAGGAGAATTACACATCTCTCACTTCTTTTACTCTACTTCATGCTTTTGTGGATCATCCCTTGTTCTCACTAGATTTTGACCCTTGACTGAGCAAACTCAGTCCTCTCTATACTTTCTTTCTCTGCCTCAGACATGTTTCACATGCTTTGTTAATTCTCATCATTGCCTGATTGTTGACAGAAAGTTACTTTCTCTGGCCCTTTAAGCTGTTCTCTATCCAGTTATACAAGTACAAGCTAATGACAAGCACTACCATTAACAGCAGTGTACCTCTTTCATCTAGAATGTTGAGGCTAAATTCCAAATGTAAACCCTTGGTACTTGTAGAGATGGATAGCAGCTGGGCAAATGAAAAACTTCATTAACATTTTGGTGTATAACTTTTTCCTCAGCAATGTGAAGACAAATGGGGACATTTGTGTGCTCTGGCTGACTTCTCCATAGCTCTGAATGAAAGCATACAGGAGATCAACAAGCATTCCTTCAACAACTTTGAACTCCGGATTGGTAAGCATGGCTCAAACACCAGAGTTAAAATGAGCTTTTTTCTGGGGGGTTGTGACTCCATTGAGGACAATTTAGAAGAGCCCAAATACTGTATCCTCTGTTTTCAAATTGATTTCATCCCAGGCAAAGTCAGAAATAGAAATATCCCATTTGTAGAATATAGGCCCTGATTTGGGGATTGCAGGATTTCAGCATTTCACTGAACTATGAACAGGGAACATAATTAATTTACTGTCTTAAGTAAGTCTGGTACTAAGAACCCATAGATATAACACAGAAAGTGAACATGACAACCTAGATCCAACCCCAAGACTGGTACTCACACAGTCTCTAATCTCCCTGCATAATATTCTTCTTCAGTAAAAAAAGTAGTTTCTCCCAACCCCTGGGAGTAGTACTTCTGTTTTGCACAAAAACTGAATTCCACCTCTGACTTGATCAGTGGCAGCAGCTCTAAATTGCTGTGATGGGTAAGCAATTGTTCTTGATGGAACATCCTACATGGGCAGTGAGATGGGACATAAAAAAGAGGCCTGAATATATGGCACATAGCAGGAATAAATTTGATGACTTCTCACATTGACCTGATCACTGGCCAAAACAAAACAAATCACCTGGAAGGGACATGTCTTTTATAGATAACCCTACCATAGAAAAACTGAGCAATATTCATCAATCATAGCATAGAGGGTCAGAGCATCACTATCTGATCTGCACTTCCTAACAGTTTTGAATGCAAAACTCATAGTTCCCAAAATTTCTCAAGGAACGGGCATTCACATTTAGTAAGTGTGCATCACATGTAAAGATTTCATAGAGCCCAAATGCAAGAGTATTTGATAATATTCTGATCACCATTTAAAAAAAAAATCTTCAAAAAAAACCTAAGAAACTAAAATCCTTTTCCAAAAGATATCTTGCACTCTACTAAAATTATTCTTAAATCGCTATTCTAGAAAAAAACCAACAGATATTGCTTGTATTTTTATGCAAAAATGCAGTCTTTCAATAGCTTCAGAGAATGCTTTAACATTTTCACTTCATGGAATATAAGAATGCAATTTCTTGACTGCATAGCACTAACAAGGTCACCCCCAACAAGTGCAGTTCCAGAAGTCTTTCCTATTGTCTGAGGATACGTTTTCAGGAGCTTTGCCAACAATGTGAGGAATACAGATGACACAAAAGTATTGTAATTCCACTCATAAGGGTGTTCCATAAAATAAAACTGTTGATATCACTTTTCAAGTTTTATAGCTTTTTCAGATTTTTTTTGCTTTGCTTAATTTATTTAAATATGGACTTCTTTCTTAAGCCTGGAGATAAGCGTATCTGAACCAGGCTTCATCTCATTCTTAAGTGCAAATATGAGTTTTAGTCATTATTGCATACAGTTTATCTTCTCTTTTTTCTCTTTTCTTCTTTTTTCTTTGTTTTTTTTTTTTTTTTGTTTCTTTGGTTTTTTAACTAGGGATTAGCCATGGCTCTGTTGTAGCAGGAGTTATCGGTGCTAAGAAACCCCAGTACGATATCTGGGGCAAGACAGTGAATTTGGCAAGTCGAATGGACAGCACAGGTGTTAGTGACAGAATTCAAGTGCCTGAAGAAACGTATCTGATCCTGAAGGACCGGGGATTTGCCTTCGACTACCGTGGAGAAATTTATGTCAAAGGTATCAGTGAACAGGAAGGAAAAATCAAAACATATTTTCTTCTAGGAAGAGTTCAACCAAATCCTCTGATCTTGCAACCAAGAAAACTGACTGGACAGTATTCATTAGCAGCAGTTGTATTAGGACTTGTACAGTCTCTTAACAGGCAAAAACAGAAACAAATTCTTAATGAGAACAATAACTCTGGAATCATAAAAGGACATTACAACCGGAGGACTTTGCTCACTCCTGGTGGATCTGAGGCAGCAGCCCAAGCAGAGGGGGCTGACAAAACTGAATTGCCATAATCAGCATTGTTTGTGGGGTTGTTTTTGTATTTCTTTTATATATAAAAATAAATATACAAATAAAAAGGGTTTAATTTTTTTTAGAAGGGGTGTGATTTTTTTTTTTTTACTGGTGTGATATTTTGATGAGATTCAAATTCCTATATTTTAACAAATGGTGCCAGCATCTCTCCCCAACCAGCTGTGGTTAACCTGTGAACATACAGACAGAGTAGGTGTAGCCTACTCAGCTGTATACCACTCAGCTGTATCATCTACCTGCAGGAAGGAGCAATAAATAAACCCCTGACTGGAGGCATTTAGAACATGAATTGGGCAGAGAATTAATGATGGCAAAAGGAGGAAATATTGTCCACATTTTTCAGATGAAAGCAAAACAAAAGTGAGTACCTTTAATTGCCTCCAAGTAGATTTATACAATCTAAGGTTGTTGCCTTCTCCCCATAACTACAGGAAAAGTATTGACAATACAGCCAAAGGATTTCAAGGTGTGTCATCTGCCCATGTATGAGGGTCTGGAAGACAGAAGGGATGAATCTTGTCCTAAACTCAGTGATTCCATTGACTTCACTCTTAAAGTGGACCAAGGTGTCCTCCTCACAGCTGGGCGACTGCACTGTAGATAAACTCTTATCTTAGTGTCCCCCTGACCTCTTGCACCCAAGGCAGGAGGTCAAGGCTCTCTTGTGGGCACTGTCACGGCCATCAGTCCTGTTTGGAGAGCTCAAACACACTGTGGTGTCTTGATTGGCACACAGACAAACAGACAACAGAGTTACACCTTGAGTGATATGTCTGATCATACTGCTGAATCAATTGCACAGTACAATTGTACAGAAGCAAATCAGATTCTCTAGTGTTGTTTACCAGACCTTAGCTCTTAACCCTGTCACCAGTCTGAGCTGTCACCAAAACAAGGGTTTTGTGAGGCTGTAAAATGAGTGTATGTTGAAGTACAGTAGGAGAAAAATTCACTGCTAAACTCTCACTCAGCTGCCCCAAAATGAGGGGAAGCCAAGACTGAGAATACCCTAAATTATTTGTGTGCCAGCGCAGACAGTCCTACAAGGGCACACCTCAGTGCTACAATCCCTGCATCAAAAAGAGGTTAACTTTTTGGGGACTGGATAATCAATTTCACCTTGGAAAGAGTAAACACATAGTCCAGGTTTATGCACTTGTGCCATGATTCACACCAGACTGTAAAGTGCATGAAACCTCTCATCAAGTCTGTTTTCAGAGAGCTGGGTTTGTTTCAGAAAATATTATCTTTAAAGTAAATCTCAGATGGAAGAGCAGGACCTGTAATCACACAGCAATCCCCAGATGAACCACACTCAAACAGTGCAGGGCAACATACAGATTCTTTGTAAATAAAGATTTGCTTTGTGCAGGCTGCTGTTACCTGGCCCTTAATAAAAACTGGGGATTCTTAGGACCACTGCTGGTGGATTAGACTCAGTTTTGGAAGATGGCTATTTTGGCTAGAACGTCTTGACTGATACATTTTAGAAGACACAACTATTTAACAACAAAAAAGTACAAAAACATGAGAGTATTTCATTGTAATGAGACCAAAAAAATGTGTTTCATTGTAAAATGACCCAATGAATGGGTTTTAGGGCAATGTTGTATCAGTAAAGTGCCATATTCTGAAATAGAATATAAAAAAGACAAGTAAATTCCACAGAAAATTGTATCACTGAATAGTGGGTCTGAAGAGAGAAAGCAGTGAGTGGCCTGACATGTCATACCCTGTGATGTTTCTACCAGTACCTGAGCTCTCATTCCAGATGTGTTACTCCTTTTAGTCCCCACAGATATCACTTTTATGCCATGCATGGAATGTCAAACCCTTCAGCTCACCTAGGCAAGTGCTGATACTGTAGGACATGGAGACATGGAATTGATGACATCTGAAGCATTTAGATTAATTTCATATTTACAGTGGTATTTCAGGCACTAAATAAGGAAGCTTTGGCTGTTTTAAACAGTTCATTAACAGCTGTCCTCTCCTTAGCAGCTTTTTTTTTCTGTGTTGGATGGGTTCACTTCTCCTGATCCTCCAAATATTTAATTCTTGCTAACAGCCCAGCTGAACTGATTTCTAATTCTCACCACCTCTGCAATGACAATTCACAGTGAGTGGAAGGTGCTAACTGGATAACAGGGCTGGGGACTGGAGTTATGAGGGCAACTTCACTGCTCCTTAGCACAGGCCCAATTTTCCTGCTTCCTATCAGAGACATAGAAGTCTTTCTCTGTAATTCCTCTCAAAATTCCCATTAGCATAACTCTGTTCCCAAGAAAAATCGCTGGCTAGTGAAGCCTGAGTCCATGTTGACCAGATAAAAAGTTTGCTAAATCAGCCCATTGCTGTTAAATCAGCTCATTGCCATGAGCAATTATTTAGTGAGGAATTTCACTTGTTACTGTAGCAGGTAGATCTCTGCATGAGACTATTTTTCTACACTTGCTGGCTATTTGTCACCCCAGCAATTGCACTGTTTGTTCCTTTTCAAATGTGGTGACCTTATAGGTGCAGCAATGTTATTTCTCATTGTAGCATCTGTTTTCTGTGGAGCACAGCCATTATTTATGGTCTCAGCCTGCTTGTTGTATTCCAAGACTTTATGGAACTGTTATTCAGCCTTCCCTCACAACCATCTTCAGGGTTTCTTGTTCATAAAGGGTAGAATTGCTCATACAAGGACCTATAAACCAAACACCTATAATTATCCCTTGAAACAGGGATGCCTGGGTTAATAAAAGCAAATTGCCTTCATATCATAACACTTCAGCCAAAGAGGCATGCAAATATTGAGGGCTTTCATAGATTTTCCCTATTAGGAGAAGAAAGTCTTGGCAAAATTTGACTATACTCTTTGATGTCACGTTATTCCTTCCTACAAATGTGGTCTACACACAAACAAACACTATCAAGCTGCTTCCTAAGAAATTTGTACCTCAGTTCCTCTCACAAGCTCCATGTCAGGAGCTCTTAAATGATTTCTAAACAAACAGGCTGAAAACCACAGCTTTCTTCTCTGAAAAGCAACATACAATCAACTGCATCGAGGGCAGCTTACGCTTTGAAGTCCTCAATCATTAAAGCAGATGGAATATTGACAATCTGGACAACAGTTCTGTACCAAAATCATTACTTTGTAGTGCTCCAAGGGTATTTTTGTAACCATCACGCCTATATTCTAAAAAAAAGTTATAGCTGTAGCAAGAGTGTTTGTTTGAAGGGCAGTGAAGGAGTTTTTGTGTTAATTAATTTATGCCATTGACCCATTTTTATAATGTATATTTAGAAACTCACATTTAGGTACCAATACCAGTTAAGGTATTGGTATCTACTCTTGGCTCACTCTAAGATTCAAACCACTGAGTTTAACTCTACTGAGAACAATGTAATAGGTGTGATATCATTTAGAACTGTGTGCTAACAAAAAAAGCAATTCAAAAAATAGCTTTTAAACACGCGGGGTGGGGGGGGGGGAATCATCACTCACTGTCCTCAGCTTTAATCCATTCCTGATTATTTCGCAGTTGTTTTCACATTTGGAAAAGCACAGCAATAAAAAAAAAAAAAAATCTCATCTAATCCTTTTCTCATTAGCAGAACTTCAGTTGCCTTTCCTGAGTGCTCTGGGAGTCAAGGAGTTTATCCAAACACCCAGCACAGCAAAGTGCCTGATAGCCAAGTTCCCTGGGGCTGCCCACTGTGGAGCAGCAGGGCAGGGAGCAGAGACTGGCTCCCCAGCTGACCTGGAAAACAGGCAGAAAAATAATCAGAGGAGTGGGAAATAACCACATTAACCACCATCAGTGGAACATGGTGAGTGTTATAATTGCACAGTCAACTTATTAACCTCCCCATCAATCTTCTTCTGTGCAGTGACACAATTCAGGGTTTGTCGTTTCCCCAGCTCTGTGCTTTACTGGAGGAGGGGAAAAAAATGACAGCAGAGCAGCTGGCAGATGGGAGGGAAGGGGTGAAAACTCAATATGCATATCTCCAAGCACTTGAGGCTTACAGCAGTTTTTAAGGAATGCTCTCATTAGCTCTTCCAGAAGAACAAAAAATTTCCGTTGTTTACATAACTTCAGCAGACAAGGCCCAATTTTATTCTGAAAATTTTCTTCTTTTCTGTCTATTTACCCCTAAGCTGTTCTATATGTGATAGCTGCCAGAGTTACTGAGCCAACCAGAGACTGATTCATTCAGGTCTTTCATGTGAAAACAACAGCTCTATGCAGGGCTGGTTAATCTCCTGTAAAATGCCATCTCATGCTACTTCTCCCGACCCAGATCTCCCTCACCTCAAGGTGTTCTGCTTTTCTGGTTGTGAAATATTTCCAGATCACAGAATCACAGAATATTATGTTTATATTTATATACTGAACATCTCTCTTTCACAGCCCATGTACCTTTTGAGGGTCCTGAAATCAGTGACTCCTTCAGCTTTGCAATATTAACTGAAAACAAAAAAGCACCACTGTTGCCACATGGAGACAAAGAAGCAGCAATCTCAGCTGGTTTGCTGAAAATCTAAGGTTCTAAAACAAATATGTGTGAAATGACTTTTGCTTGCAAAGCCCACTCCCAGCAGTAGCGACAGGGGTACTCCAAGGGATATTATTACAACTACAAGATATTAAGTATATTTTTAATTAACTTATCAGTTACTTAAAATAATAATTGGAAAAAAAAACCAAACCAGCTTCCTCCTATTCATCATTTAACACAGAGACTATTTTGACAGGCTCTCAGTTTTGTAAGTTTCTATAAATCACCAAGTAATTTGCTTCAGATGAGTGATTGCCTCTTTTGGATGTGCCCAGATCGATGCTCTAAATCTCCATCCAGGAGTTACAGCCCTGTCTCAGAGTCACCTTATTCTGTATGGATAAGAGCAAGTCTCAGCCTGTGTCCCTGTTCCCAAGAAAGGCAAGACCAGAAGTTTGAACAAGTGGGAGCTGTTGTTTAGCACTTTTCCCATCTGAATGATGCTGGGAAGAAGATCCTAGCAGGATTGATACCACAAGGTGAATCAACACTCTGCCTTTAAAGCTC